AAGGCACCTTACTCAAATTGGGCAAGAAGGAGAGTCCCATACCCACACAAGTGCCCCACTGGCCGTGTCCCTCGGCTGGCTCCCTGGAGCAGCAGGGGATCATGGGAAGGAAGGCTGACACAGTTTGGTCAGCATTTCTACAAGCAAGTGTGGCCATCCGCTTAGCTCAGACCTCAAACTGCTACTCCAAGGAGTTGCCCTTGCCAGAGCTCTCTGGTAAACAGGTCAAGTGGAGTATTAATATGCCGGGACCTTGTGCTTCCCTCTGGGTCTAGGACTTAGCGGCTGAGGGCCCAGAGCATCCTGAATTACAGGCCTAGCCTTTCCAGCATTCAGCAGAGCAGAGGAAGAGAGCTTCTCGGAATCCAGTCACTAAGCCAATTCAGGGCTTCCTTTCACAGTGAAAGTTACTGGGGCGAGGAGTAACCCTAGACCTGAACACCACACAGGACTAGGGTGGCCACGCCTTCTGTATTTCCTACTGTGATGTCAATCTTTATGTAGCATGCACTAAGGCAACCTGGACTCAACAAATCTTGAAAAGAATAACTTATCTTCCCCGAATGAAAGGATCAGTGTAGTGTCCAAAGTCAATAGGAGAAGTGAAGTCGTTAAAAACTGAAGGAATTTAGTCACTCCGAGAATAGTTTGTGAATTGTTATGCTGATGTTCTTTCTATATCCAGTCTATCATCCCAAAGTGAAATACTTAACAATTCACAGTGAAAAGTTCTTGAACACCAACAGTGTACTCATTCCTGTATCGAGCTTTAAGTACAAGTAAGAGTTTTATGTTTAAACTTTAAAAAGTTTGAGGAGTTTAAGTAATAGTAAACAGCTTTATAAGACATACATAAAACAGCAGCAGTACACATGTGTAACAAGCTATGTAATTCAAATGTCTGCCAGCTCAACAGGTGCTCTCCTGGTAAACGCAGCTTCTCGGTGCCTACACCCACATCAAGTCACCCTCCGGTGACTTCTGAGAGTCCCCACTGGTGACATGATGCTCTCACACAGGTCTGTCAGCCGCAGTCCCCAGAGACATGCTCCACGCCTGCCTTTTCCTGCCCTAGGGCTTTCTCCCCTCATTGTGCCTGCTGTCCCCAGAGCAGTCTGGAGAAGGGTCCCACTGCCACTGCCCATCATAAAGATGCTGTGTACTTGCCAAAGGTGTGGTCTTGGGATGCTCCCAAAGCTCTCAGCCTTGAGTGGCAAAAGGGGTGCTATTTCCTTGCAGACGCAGTGAGCCCATTCTCCCCAACTCTAATTTTTCACCAGGTCCCCAAATCAGCTTGTTTTGGGCCTAGTCTCCCCAAATCTATTATTCCTACTTAGTGGCCCTCGTCTCCCTCCCCCTGCCCATATTAGGTTTTCTAATTCAGTCCAGCAGGCCAGACAGGAAATCCTTCTCTTTTATCTTCTCTCTCTTCCCAGCCTCCCCCAACCACCAATTCTTTTCTCCATACTGTTATGGGGAAAAAAAAAAAATCCCTTTGCCTTTGCCTATCAGTGATTGCAAACAGAAAAGTGTGTGTGTGTGTGTGTGTGTGTACCTAAGCAGTATTCTCACCAGGCTTAAGAAACTCCAATAAGTCAGAGGACATTATCAGGGAAGGTTTCATGGAATAACGAGAGTCTCATTTACCTTACAAAATGGGAAGGTGGACGTGCATCCAGGTGAAAGAGTATAGGAAGGGTCCTCCCAGCACAAGGACTACAAACTCTGCGACACAGAGTGGACGTGAGTAGGGCTCGTTCAGAGGAGCAGTGCGACAGTCAGCACTGGACAGGAGGTACAGTACGGGAAGTCAGGAAACATAAGGATGAACAGCTGGGGCAAAGCTGAGTTCTTGGAAAACAAGCACATGAGACTAGATTTGCTGTGGTTGCTCTCGAGTGAGCTCACGGAGGGATTTGAGCAGAGGTTGTGGCAGGATGACAGTAGTGTTTACAACTTTCAAAGGAGCTCGACCTGACCTGACCGGGGACTATGCAAGGTGGACTGAGTGAGGGAAGAGTGTGGAAGTGTGCAGCCATAGAGGACCATCTGAGAGAAAAACACAGTGGGAAGGCACGTGCCGGGCCCCCTGGACAGACCGGATCACCAGGAGGAGCTAGAGGTCTTCTGGAGCAAATCAGGTTCTCTCCTCTTGTGATGTTGCGTCTTGACTGAAGTTCCCTTTGACTGTGGGCTATATTCTAAAGGAAACTTCTATTCCAAAATGAGTTCAAACAAGTTTTATACCCTTTACTCCACCCACACTTTGTACTTTAAATTATTTTTTCTCATTTCCTTAAGAAGTCTCTCCACGGTCTGCCTCCAGAACCCCCAGCTGGGTCTTGTCTGTCTCTGCTGTAACCTCTCTGCTTTGAACCTTGGCTTTGCCATCTGCTTGGCCCCTTGGACTTGACAATCCTGCCTTCTCTTGCTTCCTGGCCTACCCTCTTTGGGGATAATGATGGTAGAGATCTTGAGCCCTTCACCAGAACATTGCTAACCCCTGTCCTGCCCCCCAGGCCTCCTTGCCTCAGTTATTCCATCATCTTCCCCCCTAACCTAGAGGAAGGGGAATGGAAGAAATTCTTTAATTGGAATCTCCGAAATTTGTGCATGATCAACCTATCAGGTAAGCTGCGGTACACAGCAGAAAACGATACCCGATTCCTTAAATGTAGTCTCTTCTTGCAGCAGAACTGATGCATGTTCTTTATCTTTATCACCAAAAGGGCATTTATGGGTCCTAAGTGGTAATGCATCTCTGCTCCTTGTGTAGAACACCAGGAATTTCATGGACTCAGGCTCAGCCCCCTGGAGGATACAATGTTATACTTTTCGACTTGGAGCCATAATACTGTGTGCCTGGATGACAGTTCGAATCTAGTCCGTGATATGGAGCCAGGGTCCTAACTGAAATGGAGAATGGATATAATAACCAAAAGACAAATGGTTCCAAGAAGCACAGCTTTCCTCTGAGCATGACACAAGGGCATCAGGTGACAAATGAAGAAGGATCCAACAGATTTTAGGTCTGAATCAAAGGACACCCACTTGGTTGGGGGATGTGAGCCTTTCAATATTGTGCAGGCAGTTCAGCTTTGAAACTGACATCTCTGGCCATATCTGTACTATCCAAAAGCCTTCTGGTGCAGGAGCAGACTTCCTGGAGAATGTTCCAGTAATTCTTCCCTGATCCTAGCTGGAAACAGTCTCAGAAGAGCCTTTTTCTTTGAAGTATGGCTGTCCTGCTGGGGTTGAGAATGGCCCTGGTAGAAAGGGCGACAGTTAGCTGGTGGAGAAGATTATAGCTTTACAGGTATAGAGAGGGCTTAAGTAAAGCTAGTGTATTAGGGCCAAAACAAAATACCACAGTCTGGGTGGCTTAAGCACAGAAATTTCTTTTCTCACAGTTCTGGAGGCTGGAAGTCTAAGATCAGGGAGCCAGCAGGTCCTGAGGCCCCTCTCCTTGGCCTACAGATGGCTGCCCACTTGCTGCCTCTCCACGTGGTTGTCCCTCTGTGCATGCACATCCCTGCTGTCTCTCTGTGTGTCCAAATATCTTCCTCTTATAAGGACATCAGTCATACGGGATTAGGGCCCACCCTAAGGGCCTCATTTCAACTTAATCACCTCTTTAAAGGCCCTGTCTCCAAATACAGTCGGATTCTGAGGTTCTGGGGTTAGGGCTTCAACATAAGAACTTTAAGGGAACAATTCAGCCCATAACAGGTGGCCTAAGAGAATCTTTACTTGAACACTAATAATCGTCAGAGCTAACATTTATTGGGTGTCACTATGTGCCAGAGACTGTTCTAAGCATTTTCCACATATTTTTCATCTTCTCTTCACAATTATAGATTGTATAATTATAGGTTATATAGATTATAAATCAATTCTAGATTACTACCTTCTTTTCTGAAAAGTGGTCGAGTTAATTTGGTGTAATTACGTGATATAGTGAACATCACACTCCAGTCCGTGACCTGGGGTCCTTGTGATTGATGTGACTTGGAATAGTGGGAGAATCTTATTATCATGCTTTGGTTGGTAGACGATCTCTGGAAAGTGCAAGGCTTCCTCTCTCAGTCTGTGATCGCCACAAGCCAAAGCTGTGTCAGGTGATGGGACGTATGAGTGGGAAGACAGAACAACCTCTTTCAGAGGGTCTTCCTCTGACTCCCCCTACCACATAGCCAAGATTCCACCCTCATTCTTGGGCAGCCTGAATAATCAAATTTAAGAGTGGAAACTGTCATCTCAAGGAGTCAGGCAAGAAAGCATGAGCACTCTATGGGGGGTGGGGGGGCAGGGCAGGCAGCCTCCCAACCAAAGAGCAGCTGTGTAAGACTCACCAGCACCTCCTGGACAAACCCGAAGCAAACTGCTAGGCATGTCTTACAAGCTAGACATCTGTCCCTAATCTTCTCATTTAATCCACCCATCAACACTGAAAGAGCTATTCTTATTCCTGTTTACAGATAAAGAAACTGAAATTAGACAGGGCCACAGCCCTGGGCCCCACCCTTCCCTTGTGTGACCTTGAGCTAGATACTCACCCTCTCTAGGTGGTTCTCACTGGCCTCACCTATAAAATAAAAGCTCACTCTCAGATCCCCCTCAGGCCTGACTGCTCCCCACAGCTTGTGAGAGGCAATTCTGCTCATGCTTGAAAGAGCCCAACGTTCAAGCACCACCACAGCGCTACGCGTGCACGCTGTGTACACGCTCTTCTTGGCCTTCCGCCCCACCCTCCTTTCTGGGGGTCCCAGCCTACAGACCTAACAAATGAACACACTCCTCTGGGTCCCCCATCCCCACTCCACTCCCTCCTCACCCAGGGTAACCTGCAAAGAACCCCTCAAGTTGGCATAAAGGTACGAGTGTGAGTCAATCAGCTGCCTGGGACGGCCCTGGGCCACCCCGCCAGCTCAGAGGGAGAGTGCCCCTTGGCTGGGTGAAGAAGAGTGACACTAGGCTTTCTGTCTCCTCTGGCCCTGCAGGAGGCTCTGTCAGTGGTGAGCGACGACCAGTCCCTCTTCGACTCCGCGTACGGAGCAGCGGCCCATCTCCCCAAGGCCGACATGACCGCCTCAGGGAGCCCTGACTATGGCCAGCCCCACAAAATCAACCCCCTCCCACCGCAGCAGGAGTGGATTAATCAGCCGGTGAGGGTCAACGTCAAGCGGGAGTATGACCACATGAATGGATCCAGGTAAGCCCGCATGCCCGCGCTGCTCTGAGGCTAGGCACAGCTGGCTGCCAGGTGTGGGGCTAGGGGAGGCGTGGCACGCTTGCTCCCCAGTGACGAGTCTGGCAGATCTGACCTAAGTGGCTGGACTTAGGGTGTCTGCAGCAGACCGGGCTCTGGTGCTGGGCCAGGGAGCCTGAGTCAGTCCCTAGAGAGTCGAGGCAAGAGAGGACTACAACACCGAGGGCTGGGGGCAGAGCAGGGCCAGGAAGCCCACTGGCTCTGGGCCCCCATGCAGCTCTCAGAGGCCAGGTTAGAGTTAGGCCCGTGACACTAGGCAGGTACTTACGGAACACCTATTTTATGTCAGGCCCAGGTACAGCCCCTCTCTTGGGGATAACTTGGTGATGAGACGCCTTCCCTGCCCTGTTGAAGTACTTGACCTCTCTGGTGGGTCTCACCAGAGCAAGATGACTGAACCATTCTTATAGCAAAAGTCCAGAAGTGACAACGGAGGTGAACACCTCTAAGGGCTCGCTTGAGGGAGGACACATCGCACTGGAAAGTGTGTTTGAAGTTGGTGGTGTCCAGGACAGGTAAGCTTTGTTTGTAGAAATGGAGGGAGGAGAGTCAAGGAGAGAAAAGTCACGGAGGTAGAGGACAGCATAGTGGTTAATTGCGCGCCCTCTGCTTTGGTGGCCCAGGGTTCGCAGGTTCAGATCCCAGGCACAGATCTACGCACCACTTGTCAAGCCACGCTGTGGCGGCATCCTATATAAAGTAGAGGAAGATGGGCACAGATGTTAGCCTACAGGCAATCTTCCTCAGCAAAAAGAGGAGGATCGGCATCCGATGTTGGCTCAAGGCTGATCTTCCTCACACACACACAAAAAAATAATAATCACGGAGGCAAGAGGAGCAGGCCTGGCGCAGGGGGCCCAGGTTTCGGTCCTGGCTCTGCCGAGGGCAAGTTATCTGTCCCTCTGAGCCCCAGGGTCCTGCTCTCCTCACTAGGGCTGCAGTATGATTTCTCCACAGGCCCGTCAGGAGGGTTAACTCTGTTGCTGTGGGGAAGGACCCAGGACAGTGCCGAGGACTCAATCCTCATGAGCAAAGGTTTGAGAGAGAGAAAACGTTAGTCTCATTTATGAGATACCAAGTAATACAGTGGGCCTACAGTACAGGGAGATAGAAATGAAAAGCGAGAGTGGGCCCTGAATGGCAGGCTAAGAAAATATGGAATTTATTCCACATGCAGCCACCAACTTTAAGCATAGGCATGACATTTAACATCATCAGAGCTGTGATTTAAGACTAGAGAGAGCCGACAATCATTGTATACAGAGGGCAGGGAGGGGAGAGTCAGAAAGATAAGTTAGGAAGTTAATGAAATATCCCAGATAAGAAATTATAAAGTTCTGAACTAGAAAGATGGTAATGATTATGGAAATAAAAAGGGGTAGATCCATGAGGGCCATATCAAAGGATAATTGACAGGGCTTAGGTGAATAAACATTCAAGTGTGGCGGGGGAGGGTGTGTGAGAGGAAAGCATCAAAGATGACTGAAGCGCAAATGTTTCCAAGAAGGATGGTGCATTTGCAGCCATGAGGAGCTGGGGAGAGGAAATGCTTTGAGAAGAGATGTCAATGTTCCCTGAGATTCTTTGTGAGCAATCAGTCGAACATCCAGATAAAAATGTCTACCAGGCTTTGGAAACCGAAGCCCAGATAATATCGTAGGGCTGGAATTTAGGTTTGGGCATCATCTCTAAAGAGTTTTAACTGTGAAAATGGATGAGGTCACTAAGGAAACAAGTCTAGAGAGAGAAGAGAGAGGGGAGTGAGCGTGCTGCTGGGAGGAGACCTCCTCCAGACAGGCCCCGGTCTCAGACCTGCCTGTGGGAACACCCGGCCCTACCACATTTCAGTCCCGCTAACCAAAACCAGTGCCTGGGCTCCCAGCCACCTTCCCAGAATCTAGGATTTCAGGAAGGCTTAGAGGTTCTGAGCCAGGAGCCCCTCAAATGAGTTTCTCTCCACATAAATAATAAGGATGAGGAGTGCCTCACAGTGTAGGTAGGACATAGGTTGTCAAATATTCTTCCATATTATCTTATCATTTGCTCCCCACTACTGCTCTACGAGGTAGATATTGTAATTGCATTTTGATGTATAAAGGCAAATTGGGCTTTGACAGGGTAAGTGACTTGTCTAAGGATTTAGAGGAGGCAAAGCTGGCACCAGAGCCCAGGCTCTCTGATTCCTGCCCCTGTGGGCCACCTTTCTGCCCCCTCCCTCTCTGCTTGTATGCTGTGCTTCTGTATTTATCATCTCATTTCAGCCAACACCCACCCCCATCAGCAAGGAGGGCTATCCAGCAATGCCTCCCAAACTGGCTTGACCTGAAGTCTGTTCTTCAGACAGCAGCTAGAGTCATCCTTTCAAAATATTTGACTCTCTTGCTCCACAACTTTTAATGGCTTGTGACAAATTCCAAAGCCCTAAGCATGGCTCCCCATCCCTCTGACACCTTCTTTTCCCCCCATCTTACTCCTTCCCTCCACAGCAGGCACACAAGACTCTAGCTGCTCTTGGACCCCAAGCACACCCCTGCCTTGGAGTCTCTTCCCTTGTGTTCCTTCTTTCTGGAATATTCCTACTCTATCTAGTCATATGACTCTGTCCCTCATTTGTTTCAGATCTCTGCCCAAATGTCACCTTCTCAGAGGCCTTCCCTGACCACCAATCTAAAACAGCACCCCATCAGTCTTTATCCAGCCTTGATTTCTTCCTCTTAGCTCTTCCTGGCTCTCATCACGTCCCTCACTGAATGTGGACTGAACTGAATGTTTTGTTTACTGAGCAGCGCCTGGCACATCAGAGGTGCTCAATAAATTGTTGTTAAAGGAGTCGGTGAATGAATGTGTGGCTCACCGAACTCAAAGGTGAAGATGCTCATTCAAAGTCCTGTAGGTCATCAGTGTATAAGCCAGGACAGAGACCGAGGTCTGCTGACAGAGCCTTGGACGGAGCCTGTGTTTGTGCTCAGCAAGGCTGCCTTTGTGAGCTGACTGCTCCCTCCCCTGCTACCAGGGAAGCCTCAAGCACTCCAAGATACTAATCATGGGCAAAGAAGGTCCCCCAAGGAAATAAATTTTCAGAACCTACTTGCCAGCCCATCCCTGGCTCCGGTCACACCAGAAGCCAGCTGAAGGAGAACTGTGTGAACACCCGGTGAGCAGACGAGATAGTTACCTGGCTCTGCTTGCACAAAGCAGCCCCTGCTTTTGATTTGCCTGTCTTGACCCAGACCATCAGCAGGCGACAAAGTAGGTTTAGAAAGACTGATGTATTCTCACCTCCACCCTGGGGAAACAAAGAAGATACAGTGGACTCTCAGATCCGCTCAGGTTAGGCACCACCATCGCCAGCACCTCATAAATATTCTCTAAGTGCTCACGTGTAAGCTGAACTGATGGGCAGCAGGGAGCAAGGATTTTCAGAAAAATGTCTTTGCTTAGCATGGAACCATGTCAGGTCCTATTATGTGATCATGCAAAAAGAAATGACATGATGAAATACGTGCCAGACTATTTAAATCTCTCATCCTCAACACTGTGCTTCTCGTATCCCCTAAGAATGACTGAGGATGGCATTTTATTTCTTATCTATGATTTGACGGCATTCAGAGGGATGATTTAGCATAATGCAAAAGATAGTTCCAAACTTCAGATGAGAAAACCAAAGCAGAGTATACGATTTAGGATCTCTTGGCTCATGGACTGTCCAATGCAGTAGCCACTGGCCACATGTCGCTTTTGAGCACTTGAAATGTAGCTAATCCAAACTTGACATGTGCTCTAAATGTAAAATACACACTGGATTTAAAAGACTTAGTATGGGGGAAAAAAGTAAACTATCTCATTAATTATTTTTATATTGATTATGTTGAAATAATCTTTTGGCTATATTGAGTTAATATATTAACATATTTTAATATATTATTAAAATTCATTTCACCTGGTTTTTCTGTTTTAAAAATGTAGCTACTAGAAAATTAAAAATTGTACATGTGGCTCACGTTCTACTTCGATTGGACAGCTCTGCGCTACAATGTTTTGGATCGTCCTGTAATTCACAGTAAATTCTTTCCACATTCTTTGATAATTTGGGTTTCTGAGTTACTTCTTCATGCTTATTGGAGACCCCATAGATATTTGTGTCGCTGGAAGAGGTATTTCATGTGCCTGAAGCCACAATGCCCATCTTGCTTTTTATCCCGGCAGCAAGGCACTTGGACCTGGGGCACAGGGTTGAGTGGAGAGACTGAGGTCTGAGGAGCTCAGAGAAAGTCTAGCTTGCCCGTGTCGTGAGTGGTTTGCTCTCTTTCTCCACATCTTTCTGTTGTGGCTGAATCTGTTAGGGTGAGTTGTTCCTGAAACAACATGGTCCACAGGTTCTGTGTTGGATGTGGACTTCAGCAACTTGATCCAAGCTGTGGTCTGCAAATAACTCTCAGCTCCATCCTGTCTCAACCACAGGGATTGGGGAATACATCCCACGAGGGAAGAATATCAATTTATGGAGGGGAAGTGCAAGGTCTTGCTTGCCTTATACGCCTGGACCTGAGTTCAGTGTCAGTATTCCCTGACACTCCCTAGACTGGCCAGAAGGCCCCGGATGCCCTTATTAGACACCTGGGACTTCACATTCACATACAGGAAGGTCAGCCTCACAGACCTCATAACTTCTGCCTCTCTGACTGCACAGCACCTTCCTAAGGTGCTTCCTAAGTTTCTGAACCTTGTGGTATGAAGCATGTCACACATAACCCGGGTGGGAAGCTGTACTCGCGATTCTGGAGGAGCTATGAGCATCTACTATGTATGGAGATAAAAATAGCTAGTGGGTTAGGGTTATGGCTTTATTATGGGTATTTTCTTTTCTTGAAATTTGCTTTTAACTTATTGCATCTCCTTTTCAAAAACAAAAAAGTCATATGCACACATCTGTATATGGATCCCACGGAAATCCTAAAGACAATACAGATTGCTAAATTTTTGTACAACGTACACATTACATGGAAGACACACGTGATAGGTCCTAATGCCAACTGTGTGGCTTGAGTAGCCCTTGAGACTTCACGGTAGCTGTGTGAATATTGGGTATCCATTGACAGTAAGCCTGGGCTGCAGATTTGTGGATCTGGCTGATGTACTGAGTTAAGTTGCTCTGAATTGAATAGGAAGGTAGAGAAGATGTCTGTATAGTCTAAAGGGGTAATCTTTTGGAGGTCTTTGAAATCTCCTTTCATCCAAACACCTAAAATTTCTCACCTTGTTTTAAATTGCTTAATCATTTGCAAGGCACTTTTGGAAATCACTAGCAGTATTTTCAAAGCAGTGTTCACTGAACACACAAAAATAGAAGCAGAGGAGTAGGGAACTTATGTCCAGTGGTGCAAATAAAGGACAAGTCCACAGGGTCCACATCACCTTTGCTGTGGCCTCCCCACCATGGCTTTCTGTTGCCCTGAGATAGAGCACCACCTCCCCCCTGCTCTATTGCGGCAAGCCCAAGCCCTCTTGTCACCTGTCCCAGTGCTGTCAGCTGCCTGTGGGCCCCAACCCCATGCTAGCTGTAAGTGCAGGGCTCAATACAAATGAGCAGCAGTGTGGGCAAGCTGAATGGCAAAACCTCTTCCCCCCCATGTGTGCTCCCCCTCCCTCTCCCTCTTGTTTTCATGGGGCCTCTTCACAGGCGCCAGCTGCCTCATTAAAGAGCAGCCTTTATGCTGTGCTTCACCTGTACTCGCCCTTAGCAGTAGCTGTCGAGCCCAATGGCCGCATGGGAGGTGTGTGCTGTCTGCGGAGGCACAGTGCCTGAGCTCGAGAATGGAGGGGAGTGTGGCGGGCCAGCGGTCAAGGTACAGCCTTCCTTCCTTCTCTTCTGGAGCAGTCGGAGGAGGGCCGGCCTGGGCAAGTGCACGGTCCAGGGTGGGCGCCAGGACTTCTCCCAGAGGGCACCCCTTTGCGGATCCTAGTGGAGGAGACAGGGCCTTGTTCCAGAGATGCGCCCAAGGGTGGGCTGCCAGGCACATCACCTTGCCCAGCTGGGGAGCAGGTGTGTCCACAGAGGTTGAAGGAAGGAGAGGGGAGGAAACAGAAAAATGAGAGCTTCTGTGGGCTAGGAAACAAGCAGGTTCCAACCACCGTAGACCCCAGTGGTCACCCCAGCAAGAGCACCCGTGGTTCTGACGTCCTCCTCCAGGAGCAGGCCACTCCTGCGACCTCAGCACCCATGTCCCCAGCAGGTTCCTATCTCACCGTGGTGCTCATGGCTCCTCTTCTTACTGGCTGATATACCAGCTTTCACCAAATGTTTCCTCTTTTCAAATTTATTTTTCTCTACTCCTGCCATCAGGGACTGGCCCTGCCACAGGTGCCTATCACATAAAGGGTCACCTCATTTCAGTGATTTCTGAGGTTCTGACTTCTTACCTTTGCGTGGCAAGGGGTCAGTTTTGGGCTCGGAAATCCCCAGAGGCCCAGCTGATGTGGAAAAGAATTTTTCAAAACTCATCTCCCCAATGTTCCCAAAGGGGTGCACAGCCCGAAGAGGAGCATCTCCTCTTCCGTTATGCCCGCCCCTGGACGTTGTGCTCCTCACTGAAATTTTTCTCGCCCCTGCCCACGGGCCTTGCACTCTGGGCTCCGCCAGGGAAAGTGTGTGCTCTGGCAATCCCACGCTCTGCCGTGGAGTTCACAGCCAATGAAAATGTTGCTCTCCTGGTTGAAGGCCGACTTAATCCTCCAAACTTCTGCTGCATTTGGGTTGTTTCAAAATGGACAAGTACCCTGGGAAAGGCTGCCAGACCGTGGTGGTGAGCATGAGCGTGTGTTGAAGTGTGCGCGTGTGTGCACGCCTGCATGTGTGTGTGTACGTGCACGTGTAGCGTATTTGTACATGTGCGCATGCGCCCATTTGCGGTTAGCCTTGGGGAGGGTTGGGGGCCGGGCAAGCTGGGCCAAAGCTCTGCTTAGACACAGGCCTGGGTCTTTGTGGGACTGCTTCATCTTGGGCCAAGTCCTTGAACAGAAGAAGCCAAAGGGCCCAGCTCTGGTGAAAAGCCCTGATGTGCTACTGCTCCCCTCAGACTGCCGTGGGGACATTAAACCTTCAACAATCTGGGGCTCTGACGGCTGGTTCTTGGTTCTCTGCCTGGAAAAACAGTAGGCGAATAGTAAAACCTTAAATTCTAACATGTGTAAGTTATACATCTTATTTTCATTTTCAGTCCATGTTCTCCTCTGTAAGACATCAGGAAAAAATTACCGTCTGACTTCTAATATCTCAGTGGAGCATTTATCTCCTAGCTATGATAAGTGATCTTCAATATTTTTTTCCTTTCAGATTAAGAAACAAATTCATTTAATTTTCTTTATTGAATGTGCTCAGTCCTCCCCCACCCCACCCGAGTCCCTACCCTCCTGGGCTGTTACTCCCTTCTTCTGCCTGGTGACCGCTCTCTCTGCCTGTGGAGCTGCTGCCACCACTGAGGGATGGGCGGAACCCTCTCTGGCATGACTCTGCTCCTTAAGGCCTCTTGATGGGCCGTTCCTGCCCACAGCAGAGTGAGGGAGGGCAGCAGCCAGGTCTTTGGAAAGCCTGGAGAGGTTCTGCAGCCCGGAGTTGGACGGCTGTAATCTGAACCTTATCTGAACTCGTTGGTCTGAAGGCCTGGTTTGGAGCTCTTGAGAGAACTGGCTGTCTCCCAGGTTGCCAGAACTGATGCTTCCTGCTCTGTATAACCGCAGCCGCAGCCTCTCCTTGGCCTTCTAGTCATCTCCTTTGGTCCTGCTGCTGCCGAGTGGCTGAGTAGAAGCTACGTCAGGGCAGGATGGCACTTCCTTGGGCACGCCCGGAGGGTCCATGACACTGGACTGGGGGGGATGTGGAGTGTTCTGCCAGCCTGCTCCAGAGACCAAGGTGGTCACAAGTGCGGTGTCAGCTCAGATTTCCAGACGGCTGCTCGTTGCTTGAGCCGAAGCCAATGAGCAGCCTCTCTGCTCCCATGTTACAAAATACCAGGTGCTAACTGGGCTAAGTATTTCAAGACTAGGTTGAGTGATTTGCTCAGTCCCTTGTGCATTTCCACATGCTTCCTCTGTGAGCTTGGTGGCCAGGGCTGCAAAATGCTACAAGAGCCACAACCTCTCTATGAGGTTGAAGTTCTTGGATTCTAGTCTTCCTTTACACAACAACCAGCTCTTCTGCATGTGTGTTTAGATAAAGAAGCATAATGCCGGCGACCTGAGTCCTGCTTCCACCTTTACCAGCTGTGTGACCCTGGGCTGGTCACCTCACCTCTCGATTTCCTTAACCATAAAAAGGAGATATTAACCCTTGCCATACCTATCTTGGAGTTTATTGGGAAGTTCAAATAGAACAGTGTATGAGAATTGCATTAAAATTATATATATGCAATAGAAATAATTCACTCAGCAAACATTTATTGCTCACCTTGTGTATAAGGCACGATGTAAGACACTTGAGGTTAAAAAAGGAAAGCAATGGCACTGCCTCAGGAAACTCCCAATCCTGCAAGGGGAAGGGCACCTGCCAAGCTCACCATCACACGGTGTGACCAGTCCTGGAACCAAGGCCGAAACAAAGTGCCATAGGAGTGTGGGCAAGGCGTGTCTGGGGCAAGGACTAGTGCCAGCACCACTGGAGTGCAGGTTGCCTGGCAACAGGACTAAAAATGTCAGCTGCAGGCAGATGGGGAGGCTGCAATACTATACCGAGAGCTGCAGACTCTAGTCTGAGGGCAGTAAGGAGCTGCCAAATGTTTTTAAGTACTGTAATTATAGGCTTGGGATGGGATTTGAAGAAAACTCTGGTGGCGGCATAGAAGAAAGAAAGAAGGCAGCAGCAGCAGCATCCTTGTCATCATCATGACACCAAGTGGGCCTCGGAAATGGCTCCCTGGTTGTCTGAGCGATCGACGGGGGCGAGCTGCCCATGCTGTGCAGATGGTAGCGGCACTGATGACTTCCTCTGGGCTTTGTCTCCTCTCGCTCTAGGGAGTCTCCGGTGGACTGCAGTGTTAGCAAATGCAGCAAGCTAGTTGGTGGAGGCGAGTCCAACGCCATGAACTACAACAGCTACATGGATGAGAAGAACGGCCCCCCTCCTCCCAACATGACCACCAACGAGAGGAGGGTCATTGTCCCCGCAGGTACTCTGGGAACCAGGCTGCTGGCTGGCATCCATGTCCTCACTCTTCTGGGCTAGTGGTTGAAGGGCAGGCCTGTCCCAGTTGGCATCTAAACCTTTCCCTGGTACCCTCTTCTCTATGGAAATGCTGAGTTGGGAAAACTGCACTTCTCACCTTTCTCTCTAGCTGCCCTCCAAGACAGTATCCCAATGTCACCAGAATCTTGAAGTAGATTCCAGAAGCCCCACCCTCAAACAGGTCACATCGCAGACTCTACGTCAGTGCCTGGTACCATAGGATGAGGGCTGCAAAGAGAGCAGAGGCAAGGCCATCTGAACCCCAAAGGAGTCCTGGGAACTCCCAGACGTGCCCACCTTTGCCTTAAAGGAGAAAAGTGGCTACTGAGGTCTGTCATTCCATCAGGCACGTACTTCCTGGCATCTGCAGGGTTCCACATTTCCAAAATGACAGCCAGCTCTTTCAGTTTCAAAATAGAAATAACTATATTTAACAAATGGAGCGCCTTAACATGTGTGCAGCAAGTTATGTCATTATGTAAAAATAACCTGTTTTTCCTAGGTATGGGTGCTGTTGGTTACAGAAAATAAAATTATTGTTCAAGCCTTCAGTCCATTGGCTGGACGCGGCCTCGGTTGGCCCAGCAAGCTCAGCCACCTGGTCAGGAAGGGAGTTTGAAAAGTGCAACGTGTAGAGTTGGTGCCAGGTAGAAGGAGTAGGAACATCCAAATCTTAAGCAAAGTGAATTACAGGGCAGGGATTAAAAGTACTCCTACCAAAATAACTCTACCAAAAAGGCAAAACCCCTTCCATTTGGAAAAGCGTAAATGCAGTTGTGTCTGAGGGCAAAGGATTAGCCACCTCTTTGAGGTAATCCCAAGGAATTTGCTTGTCGATCAGGAAGGCGTGGTTTTGTCACGGGCCTCCCCTTCCTAGGCCCTCTGTGTTTGTTTTCCATGGGAAGCTGTGTCTCGCCATCTCCTAGGACCATGGCTACATCCATGTGTTTTGGGCCAAATTCAATGAGGCAGGGGGTGGGAGATATGGGGACGAGTGAGACAGGAGAGGGGTGGGCTAATGGGAATTTTTCTGTGCCCTTGGAAACTGTTCATAAAGCATTTTTAGTTTCCCTTCTTCCACAAGCATATGACCTCACAAAGTAAGAGGAAGAATAGCTCCCATTTACTGAGTGCTTTGCAGGTGTCAGGCACCGTGTAAACTACTTTATCTGCATTCCATTACTCCTATAATTTAATGTTTGATCTCCTCTCTCCCTCAGGACACCAGCTAGGAATGTTTAGCTCAGGTGCATTTTTCAAGTCCGAGAAAACCGTGTCTTCTGCCTTCTCATGAAAAGAAGGCAGACAATGAAACGGTACTAAAGCTCACATGGCGGGAAGCTCTCTACACTCCTCAAAGCAAAACCAGGTCTTGCCAGGGCTTTGCTCGTTGGTATCAATGTGCCAGTGGCCAACATGGGAAGGAAGTCTTATGGATTGGAGAGTTAGGGGATTAGAGATTGTCTCTGAACCAAACGTTGACACCATCTCATTTCCATAGTCACTTTTGGGAGAGAAAGGGGTCAAAAATGGCCAGACTGCTTGGTTGACACTTCAACTCTGAATTGGTCTTGAAACACTTTCAAAAGGAAAATCAAAATGTCAGTCTTCAGTGAGCCAAGGTAACTGTAGCAGTAATAATCAAAATAGTATAAATTCATATCAAAGAGTTTTTAAAGCACTTTGTGTAGTGAATTCACTAGCTATGGATTTACTTCATTATTTTACCTCTGGCTAGATCTTGAAGCATTTTCCTCAGACATTTTGGCTTCCTCCAGGTAAGCCTTCTGGACGTGAGGGAAAGTCTCATTTGGGCAGGTCTACAAATCAAGGCAACACAACATTGGTGCAAGAGCAGGTTGAATTTACAGTGGCATTTTAAGACAAGTATAAACGAGGGCCCTAGTTAATCACCAGTTCCAAGTTCAGATGGGAAGAAACCAAGACTAAATCATCCAGGAAATACCTGTGGAAGACTTTAGCATGATCCAGAGTGGAAGATTTATAATTCATTGTGCTGTAAAGGGAGAGAAATAATATTGTGATAGAGCCTGAAGCAAGGGAGGAAATAATATAATAAATAAAATATATGGTGCACTATTGAATTTGAGGCCTTGGAGTCTCAAAGTGAGGAATTAGGAGAAGCAAAGGAGATCAGAAGAAATAATATGCTACATAATCCGCCCCCACCCCCACCATTTTTCTTTAGCATTCTGAAATGGTGCAAAATTATTTCCATTTACCGATGGTCCGTGCCTAATCGTTTCTGGAGAGTGAAAGAGTAAAACAAAGCAAGAAATTTATCTGAGAGAGAGGGAGAGAGAGACGCAGACAGACTTGTACCATGAAGCTCTAGGAGGAGCTCTGTTTTTTGAGGTGATAGCTCAGTGATTTCACGGGTGAGTTAAGGCAGGATCGTGAGAAGGTGAGAGGAGAGGCTGTGGGTCGGGGGGACCTACCACCTCAGCTAAGTGAAGTCCTGGGAGGACTGTGATGGGAACCCCAGCTCAGACTGGGACTTAAGGTGGAGCTGGGGACCCAACCTTTCAAGACTCCACTTTCCACCTGCAAAATAAAGAGAAAAGCCGTTTTGCAAGATATTCTTGATAAGTGAAAAATAGGACACAGGGAGCAGCTGCCACACAGTAGGCACCCCAAATCTGGGCTATTACTGGTTACCAGGTACTGAGTTGTCGATATGACATCCAGCAACAGCCTGTGACCTGGACTCCAAATTCTCCTCTTCTAACCCCTCCGCTTTTGCTAGCCTGTCCCCCTCCAGCACAAATACAGCAGCACTCTGTGCATGGGCTGGTGCTGGGCAATTTGCAAAGCAGACTTGGCCCTTGCCACCCAGCTTCTCACATATAAAAACCAAGGAGACATGGAGAACCCGCGGCTAACAAGGGCAGTCAGCAGAAGCTCTGAGTAAAAGAGCTGGGGAATTCACCACTGGTAGCCCAGCTACCGGGCACGAGGGAGACAGCAGAGCCTGGCTTCTTTCCCCACGGCCACTCCTAATCATTCAATCCTGGTTCCCATATTTGCCAAGAGCCTTCACAGACTCTTAGAATGTGAGGGTGAGTTGGTTGAGAGGTAGCACAGACATTCCCACCAAATACACAGGCTAATAAAACAGGCCAGGTAGAAGTTGGGGGCTAACAGCTGACGTACAATGTCAAGTCTCCTCCCCTCCTCCAGGAAGCCTTCCATGACTCTCCAAATTCACACTGTTCCCCCTCCACCTATGATTCTTTCAACTACCACCACAACATCTGTTGAGTAATTACGTGCTTTCTTACCTAAATGTTTCACGTAGATAGGTCTTTCGTGAGGCCAAGAGCCATGTAGTTTTCTTCTATGATGAGCACATTTAAGGTGTTTATTGAATTTGTTAATAATTGGTTGCCCAGGAAAGATATGGCTTACAGACTGTGATAAGTGATAAGATATAAGGGTTCTACCTACTGTGGAACCTGCTAGAACTCATCACCACTGCTCAGAGGACACACGCTCCCCTCACACACACATACCTGGCTGAGAAGTAGTCGTGAGGGTACTAAGTGGAGATGGCCTCAGCCTTAAACTATTTATGCTCACTCCAGGGTGAAAACGTTTTCTCTCTCCAACACCATTTCTCATCTTTGGGGATTTAAATATCCTGAAGACATTTTGGTGAAGATCTGGTAGAAATTTCAACATACCTGTCCCCAAAAGGAGAAAACCCAGGTTGGATATATGTTAAAGACTAACACCACTGGTTTTCAAACTGCACAGATGTAATTGCAGTGAAAGTGTATACATACGTATTCTTTTCTGTGGCCATCTGAAAGATTGGTTTTCTTCCATGAAATCATTAATGTTCTTTAAATACAGATGGTTTCCCTTTCCAGAGACGTTGGTCCCTGGATCTGTGGAACTGTTTTTATTTTCATTTTAATGCCACCATTTCTCAGGCAAAGGTTTCAATTGCCCTCCAAAAACTTGCAAGAGAGTGTTCTGTTGGGATGCATAGTGAGGCATCTAAGAACCTCCCCAGAGTCCTAAGTGTTTCAGGCAGCACCAGATGCGGTAGAGCCAGATGGGAGTTCTGGGAGGACCATCTGGGAGGGAACCCACTTTCCCACTGAGGGAGAGAGGGAGGGAGGGAGAGAAAGAGAAAAGAAGGGGGAGGAAGAGGAGGAAGAGAGGGAGAGGGAGGAAGGGAGGAAGGTGGGGAGAGAGAGGCTGCCCAGCCTTCATGAAGCGGAGGGAGCCCCTGCACCTCAGCCCTTGCTAACAGGTCCTTTTCTCGGCAGACCCCACGCTGTGGACGCAGGAGCATGTGCGGCAGTGGCTGGAGTGGGCAATAAAGGAATATGGCTTGATGGAGATCGACACATCATTTTTCCAGAACATGGATGGCAAGGAACTGTGTAAAATGAACAAGGAGGATTTCCTCCGAGCCACCTCCGCCTACAACACGGAAGTGCTGTTGTCACACCTCAGTTACCTCAGGGAAAGTAAGTGCCCTGTCTGTTTCTAGGCAGCGAAACAACCCCAGAGGGTGCAGCCCAAGTCCCCAGGGCTGGGAGAAAACTCTGCCAGGCGGGCTCTGGCTCCGAATGAAGACTGATTCCCCATGGAGCCAATCCAGGGAAAGGAAGTTGGTCCCCCTGCCGTGGTTCCTGTTGGGCCGACGCTGCAGAAGCTGCAGGGTTTGGGCCTGTAAAGTTGTCAAGGTCACGTCGGCTCCTACAGACGCTGCAAGGGGGCTGACCCAGTCCTGTAGTGTCAAGGGAAGTAACACAAGGAATAGAGAACAAATAGGGAGCTGGGGCCAGTGGAGTCTGCCAGAGGCTAGTCACAGTCTTCCCATGAGAACCCCTTTCCAGAAACTACTTTGCCCTCTCATTATAAATAGGTGGATGCCCTGGTTGGTATTTTCCAGCAAAGACTTTAAGTTCCTACGGGAAACTCTAGATTCATAGATTTAGGATTTAAGGTCTTGAAAATTCACACGTTAACTTCCTCTCATCCTTGGGATCACTCTGGCACCCTCTAAGCCCACTTTTACCGGCTGCTACCAGCACACCGTCCCTTGCCAAACAGGGAGAATAGCAGATGCTACAGGTGTGTTAGGATCTATTAGAAGCGTTCTCCTGGTACAATCAGAAGGAAAAGAGCTTTGGAAAGGGAGAGTCTGTGAAAGCAAGTGGGCAGTTGTCCGAAGGATTATCCAGTATGAGGGTTCTGTAGCACCAAGCTCCCATCATTTTGATATGAATTTCATTTGATAGGAAACATACAAAGAGATGGGAACAGAATTCTTTTAGGGCTACTAATAACTCAACTCTTTTGGCTTCAACTCTTCACCAGAAATCCAGGCCAGGTGGCATATAATGACCCCAAGTACTGAAGGGTTGTTCTGTGGCCGAAAGATGGTACTAGGATGGGGGATTGAAGCAACAGGAAGACAGATGTGGGCTCACTCCATGCGGGAGCTTTCCAACAGTCAGCCCTGTCCAAAGGCAGACTGGAGCCTCAGGATATGGTGTCTGCTGTCAGTGGCCAAGGCTACTGGGAGTCTTGCAGGAGTTAAGCTTCAGAAGGAAGGAGTTGGATGATTTTAAAGCCGCTTCAAAGCCGAGGTCCTTGGACAGCACCTACGGGCCACTTTTCTTGGTCTCCTGGGCTTGGGGTTGGTTGGTTCCTCACTCACTCGCCGTTGTTCAGTGGATCTTCAACTTGGCATCCTTGTAATCTTCTGTCTCGTTCTGCAACAGTGCACTGTGTGGGGTGGCGGCAACACACACCGGCTGTAAAAATTTACAAAATGCCTTCGGCGGTTTCCACCGTGCCTCAGGGCTCTCCGGCCACCTTTCCGGGGCGTCTGGTGAGCAGTGGGAGCGTGTGGATGAGGCGGCGAATGTTAACACCAGAGCAGTGACCTCATGTCTGAGTCTTGCTGCAACATGAGGTCAGCCCAAGAAACAACAATTTCAAAAAAAGGGGCAATTTTCCACCCAGTTTCTCTGAGCTTTGGAGAATTAGCATTTTCTAACAATCTGTATTTCTCAGGCTTTAAGTGTTTATAGAAGTTTTTAAAAAGGACCTTTGCACAAGAGTCCTGCAACGATGCTAGCTAGGCAGGGCGTGGGTGGAAGTGGGCACACGGAAGCATGAGAAAGAGAGACCAGCAAAGCAAAAACACTGACAGTTCTGCTTCTCCTGGCCTCATATGGCAGGAGGTCCAGGAATCACTGGCCCCTTTTCTTCCTTTAGGGGAGAAGAGATGGACGGCAGCAGCATGGACAGCGTGCTCGGAACACTTAAAGGGCCCAATAATTTTGGGCTCCATGGCAGATGCCCTTATTGGGGGAATGTTCAAGCACATTCTGACTTGATGTGGGAAAAAGCCATTCGTGCTGTGTGATCCTCAGACCCTGCTTTCTGGCGGGTCCATAAACAACCCAGATCCCCACTAGGGCTCCTTCACAGAAGAACCCAAGCCGCAGACCAACACCTGCTCAAAAGGTCCAGGAATTATATAAGGTGGTCACTGTTAACCATTAAGGAGGCTTTCTGCTGGTGAAGAGCAGATAATAAGGGGCAAAGGTGTGAGCAGGTTGTGAAGAAGTGGAGGCCAGAGACTTTGGTATTTGGGGGGTATACATAGCAAGGCAAGAAAAAGTGTGGATTGCTTCTTCTTTCCTTCTCTCATTTTAAGAATATTCGTACACATTAAGGAAGATGCCCCAAAGCAATAAAAGTATGAAGTTTCCAGAAAGGAGCTTATTAGTGGAGAAAATTTCCAGAGTTGAGAGGAGATAGAATAAACCACATATATGATATAATGTTGAATGAAACAGCTAAATATAAAATGTTCTGTGCATTGGTATAAAAACCATGTCTAGAGGAAGATTGGCAACAGATGTTAGCTCAGGGCCAATCTAGCTCACCAAAAAAACAAAAACACTAAGGGGCTGGCCCTGTGGCATAGTGGTTAAGTTCAGTGCACTCCACTTTGGTAGCCTGGGTTCGCAGGTTTGGATCCTGGGCACGGACCTACACCACTCATCAAGCCATGCTGTGTGGTGACCCATATAGAAAGTAGAGAAACACTGGCATGGATGTTAGCTCAGGGCAAATCTTCCTCAGAAAAAAAAAAAAACAAAAACAGGTCTGCCTGCAAAAGCAAAAAGTAACATACTTGTGTTCAAGTTCAAAAAAACTTGCCTCAGCGTAGTATTGTAATGGTCTAGAGGCCTTTCGAGAAACCTCGACTTAAAATGAGCTGCTATCATGGAAAAAAGTTTTGATTCTTGCTTCTTTCTAATTGGTGTCTGCCTTCAGGGTCCAGCCTCTGGGACCCTCTGGCGCTGGGTGGTGGTTGGCCCGCTAAGATGCCTGCAGGAGGTCATGTGCCCGGTGACTGTCTGCTCTCCAGATTGCTGGGAACTCCCTAGTGCCGACCAACATGCCCTCAAACACTTTATTGTTTTTCCAGACTCACTGCCAGCGGATGTTTTGTGCTGAGGCAGGGAGGCCAGTGCTTTGGAGAAAGAGGTTGGGGCAGCTGAATGGAGGCAAGGGGCAGGGACGCTAATTCCTTGTGCTTTGTCATCTGTCCTTCTGTTGAGAAGGGGAGTGGGGCTCAAACACTTCCACTGTGGCAAGAAGTGGAAGGAAAATAGCTGAGATCCTTGGCACAGAGGGAGGAAGTACTGTAGGGCTAAGGAAAGTGGACAGAGGAGAATTGGAGACCTTGTAATTTAGCTGTAAATCAGAAGACTCCAAATTAGTTGCGCCTCTCCAAAGTGACTTTAGTAGAAAAAAGGAAACCTTGTAGGATAATAAGCTCCAGCATCAAATTTACACTTTCACAAAAGGTACTTGAGTATTTATTCTGGTTGTGTGAGACAGGAGAGATATACCCTGTATATTCCAGGGTAGAGAAGAAATGGCCATGTCCTGAGTCCTGCATGCCCTGCCCGCTGGCCTGGCATGCTAGCATTGATCCAGCCTGCCTGGAGGTGCTGGTTCTTCACACCTTCGGCTTTTCAGCTGTCCCAGAGTGGCTTCCCCTCTACCGTCCCTCTGTAACACCACCCACACTTGAAATGTGAGGAGGATGGTGAGGGATGGTTCTGGGGAGGATGCCCACAGTACTGGGGATCACTCTGGAGTCCCCTGGGGACACTAGGGCTCAGGCATGCATCTCCCAGGTGTCATTCACTTTACATGGACAGGATGCCCCCTTGTGGACACCACGTGGACAACTATGTATAATGCCCATTTTAAAGCCAAAGCAACTGAGGTCTGGAGTGCCTCAGAAACTGGTTCCAAGGTGTACTGCCAGTGGAGAACAGCCTGGTATCTAAGACCCAGGCCTCTTAAGTCCCAGTCCGAGCCCAGCCCACAGCCTCACCCTCTGATGTGAGATGACCAAACAGAGAGTGCGGCTAACCCGCCCACACCTGTCTTTCCTTCTCTACTTTAGAGTTAGCCCCACTCATCTGGGCTTCCACGTTGAGGGCCAGGCCACTTTCCCCACAGCAATTTCTGTTTTCATTTGTACCAAGAGATAAAATGCTTTCCGAAAACTTTCCAGTGGTCTCCTGGAATGAGGCAGATTAAGCCAAACCTATCACCGCACTAACCCTGTCCTCCTCTCTTGCCCGCGGTGCCCCCCACTCCAGCCCTGACTGGCGGCCCGGCCAGTATCTCGCAGGCACACCCCGTTTGGCAGAGGCCATATTTACAGCCCACGGGCTGCGGGAAGTGAGATTGGGCGTCACAAGGCAAGATTGGGACGGACCTCAGAGGAAGTGAGAGCTGGCCCCGCTGGCAGTTCAGACGCAGGGCCACTGGGGGGAGTCTGGGTTTTCTGGGGGCCCAAAAGGCCCTGGGCGGGGCGGCCAGAGACAGAAAGAAGGAAAAATAGTCTTTTTTTATTTTACAAAAAGTTGTGTTCTGTATGTATATCTGTATACTGAGAAACTGCGTTTTCAAATAGTGGCAGCACAACAGAATGAAATATGTTGTGACAAGGAGACCACAGAAAAGGTATCTGTCTTGATTCCCATTTTTAATTTAAACTTAATGGAAAACACATTTTGCGTTTTGTGGCATTCCCACCGGCAGCCTCAGATGGTCGGGCAAAGGTGATGGGTCCAGGCAATTAGGCTGGTGAAGTATTATCCCTTCCAGGCCAGGGTCTGACCAGGAAAGGAGAACAGGATTCCAACAGAACAAAAGGCCCGACTTCCCCGGATTCAGGAGTCAGCCAGGCCTGTTGTTTAGACGAGGGAACCTTACTTCTCTCCCTGCTCCTCCTTCCCCAAGGCGCACTTCAGCCCAGACCATTGAGGGCAGTGCAGAAAAGGGAAACCGGCTTCAATAGCCTTCTGGGGAGGGGGCACTGGGAATTCTCTGTGAGGTGGGAGACAAAGGCTCTGGCCCTCCAAGGACCATTGTCTCCCCTGCCCCAGGTGTCCCAGATGAAGAGCAGGTTGGGTTGGGGAATGTGGAGCTGCAGAAGGCCCGATTGTTGCGGCTCTACCCCACACCTGCAAAGCCGCACTCCGCTCGTTTCCATCTTCTTTCACATCCCTAATCCCTCTCCAGTGACCGATGGACTCAAAACGGAAACTTATGTTGTCCTCACGCTTTCCCTTTGGGAAGGCCGTCCCATTCTCAGCAGCAACCACTCCATGCTTTTCAGGGCCCCAAATAAACAGACATGCGTATATGCCTGCATGCATACATAAACAAAGAAGCAAGTAAACAAATGTTTTAATTGAGATGTAATAGAGAAGTGCAAAAATCATACATGCACGACTCAAGGAATTATCACAGAGTAAATCCCCTCGCTGAGATGAGCACCCTAGGTCAAGGAGTAGACTAGAAGCCCCCTTCTGCTCTCTCCTCACCACCCCTTCCCCCCCCCTCTTGAAGTTCCAACACCAGGTGAGTTTTGTCTGCTTCTTAAATGGAGCCTGGAGGCTGCAGGGTCTCCTAGACTGAGGGCAGGTTTGTAGATGGACCAGAATGGGAATCCTGCCTCCTGGGCTTTCTGGCTGTGTGATCCTGGCCAAATTAGTTGACTTCTCTGAATGTTTCATCTGTGAAAGGGGAATAACGTGATACTGGCTTTACACAGCTCGTGTGAGGATTAAGTGAGAGAATAGATGTAAAGCGTGCAGCACACAGTAAGCGTCCCAAGCATATTGGCTTCCCTCCTCCCCCTCACAGCCCGTTTGCTCTGACAAGATGGTGTCAGGAAAGACTAGGAGCCCAGCAGCACGCTAGCCTCATGCAGAGGGAGCCTCAAAGCAGCAGAAAGAAACCCAAAGCTGCAGAGTAGAGGCCAGACTCCAGGGAGGACCTTCTTGGATCAGAACAGGTTCCCTTAAGAAAAGACTGCGCTGTGCCACCCTCTGTAGCCTGAGGACCTAGTTAAATAAAATCGGAGGAGAGAAGGGAGCCTTGGCCCCTTGGGAGGGAGGTCAGATGCCCCTAACCAGCCCCTCCTCAGGGAAGGCAGCCTCTCCTCCTAGGAGTGAAACTTGAACCAAAAACAGTCTTCAGGGCAAAATCCTTTCCCTAGGTTACCATGAAATATGTATTTCATGCAAGCTTTGCAGAGGTCAAATGACCCTTTCTCTTGGCTTTCTGGGAGTTTTCTGTGGAATTCACGTGTGCCCAAAGAAGAACTTTCACCAAGGGGAAATTTAATAAATGTGGTTTATCTAAGCTTCGTGCTCTCAGCTAGATCTGCACTAATGACTCAGGCAGTTCACTCCTCTGAGACCATCATTTTTCTTTATTTGCTCCAGCCCTGAGGTTTCAGCCTGAGGAAGAGAATGTCGGGGACGGAGAGGCAGACATTCTTGGTCTTACTCCTGAGACTTTTTTCTATTCCCTTGGAACGTTTGGTTCCATTTCTTAACCTCCTGCCAGTCATGGAGGATTATTTCTTATTGCAGCAGAACCCATTCATAACTCTAATTCCAGAGGACAAGATGAATGTTCAGCAAGCTCTTTTATAAAGGGTTTATTGTATGTAATTGTGGTGTCTGTGGAGACGGGATGTAAAAATAGTAATGATAATAGCTAGCATTTATTCATCACTTATTATGAACCAAGGACTGTTCTGAGCACTTTACATGTATTATTTTATTGAATCCTCACAAAACTGTATTAGGCAGGTGTTATTATTAGCCCATTTTATATATGAGGAGCCTGTGGTTTAGAGAGACTAGGAAAAGTGATGGGGGTCACAAATCTAGCAAGTGGTAAGAGGCAGATCTAATTTTAAACTCTCATTTGCATAACAGCTTATATTAAAAAAAAGGTTGTTCCAGCCTCATTTTGTCCTTGATATTTTCGAAAGTGGAAGAACCAAATGCATCTGGTTCTTGGGTATTACATGCGACTGTCTCATTTCTAAAATTGTATCCACATATCTACATTTTGGCATATAGCGGTCTCAAGACCACCTCCATTCCTCTTCTTTTTTGTCTGGAACTGTTTCGAACTAGAAGTAACAGCCGCCCAAGCCAGAAGTCATAGGTTCTAGGCAGTTGGATGATTCTTATAAAATTCTCCCCTCATCGTCTGGCCTGGAAGGGCGCACATTTTCTCTGAGGCGCACAACCAAACGCCCACAGCTGGGTGAGGTAGTGGCTCCGCTCCTGCATCCCTGCCATGGCTTGAGACTAAAAATAGGAGTGTCTGACAGCCCATTCACTGTTCCAAGCCCTGGCACCCGAGTCAGTGCACTCGATCCCAGGGAGCAGGGAAAGGGATTATTTAGAAAGACTTTTTAGTCTCAAATACTATGTCAAGCTTATTGTGTCCTTTGTAAAAGCAGATCCCCGCCCTGGTCTTGATAGCCCTTTAGAGTTTCCCCAGGAGAATTGCAAAAAATACCTGCATTTCACAAAACAAAACTCTTGAATTCTCTTGAAACTAAGGAACAAGTCTAGTCTTAGGAAAGAAGAGAGAATGTTTTTTATATGCAGCAAAAAAAAACTATCATCCCTTTAAAATGCCTAAACTACTGCCTGGAAAGAGTAGCCACGCATTAAAGGTTAATTTTAAAAGATTGTATAGCAGCTCTCTGGGATGACAGGAAATTCAGTGGATTTCGCCTCATGTTTACTTATATTCTCTTCGACATATGCAAAGGGAGGCAAGAGTTGCTAGTGGGAGTACCACCTCCCAGCCCTTCCCAACTGCCAATGCCCCCTCCACCAACAATGTGTGTCCAGGTACCTCGCCCACCTGTGAAATAGCCTCACCATAAACCCAAAGCATGTCATAGCAGGAAGGAATCATACTAGCTTCTCCTCCAGGGCGTGGCAAACTACAGGCTGCAGGCCACAGATGGCCAACTCTGGCTCATGGACAAAACAGAGAAGAATGTACGACAGAGACTGTATTTAGCCACAGAGCCTAAAATATTTACTATCTGGCCTTTATAGAAAAAGTTTGCCAATCCCTATTGTAGTTCAACCCCTTCATTTTTCTGAGGAAGAAATCAAGGTCTAGACACATCAGGTCGCTTACCCACAGTCACACGGGGAGTTAGCAGTAGGACCAAGACAGGCCCTGGTGTTCCGAGTCCCCGTCCTGTGTTCCTGCCATGATGCAGTGTGGACCCCAAGAACATCAGAACCATAAATGTGGCTGCTGGGGAGGGTTGTGGGTGTCCCACCCACAAGCATTCTGTCCTGACTGGCTCTGACCCTAACTCCAGGAAGCTCTGACAGTCCTGCGTGATTGGCTCCCGAGTGGCTTACAGTAACTTTTTCTTTCTCTCAAGGAGTCATGTGTCCCTCTTCCCCTGCCCCATCTCTTCCCTTCCCCACTCCCTTCTCTCCTGCTCTTGATCTCAGAAGCATATCTTGCTTATAACCTGCTTTTGCTTTGCCTTTCAGGTTCACTGTTGGCCTATAACACAACGTCCCACACAGACCAGTCCTCACGACTGAGTGTCAAAGAAGGTAAGCCCGTTCTCTCAGGCACTGGCAATCTCTTCAGTACCAGGCATGGCACCACTCCATGCCATTAAGACTGGTGTGGGGGACCTCAGGTCTGTGCACCACCTCTCTTGCTCCACTCAGCTTTTTCTAGCATATGAGACAAGAAGCCAAACCTTATCTCCCTTGTGCCACTAGCTGCAAAAATATAACAGGGTTTTAAAATATCTTGTAATGATATAAAGATTTAACTTGAGGTCATTACTCCGTAAAAGAAAATGTGTTGATCTTAGAATGAAATGAATACTGCTCACTTTCAAAGCTGAAAATTGGGAGTTTTCTCTGTTGAAGATAATGAAATGAAGATTTCAAGGATTTTTCCAATACCTCAGTTTAAGGGGGTTTTTTCCTAAGAAATTTTAGCAATGCCATTTCATTTTTAAAGTGATGATTTGGGGATTTTGTCTGGGAAGTTTGGTTTGATTGAGGGAAAAAAAAGTCTTAGCAAGTGACTTTCCAGTAGGATTTTAGCAAACATTACCATAGCATTTCTCAGCATCTTTATTTATGAAACAATACTGTGAACATTTATTGCTCCAGATACTGTGTTAGGTTCTAGGCATTTAAACAAGTGACTAATTCATGGTACCTGGTTTAAGAGAGAAAAAATGTGAACAAATAATTATTAGAAAACAGAGGAAGTAAGAAAAATTGGCCTAAGGCAAAAGAAAAATTCCATGGAGGAGGGGACTTTTGTTTGGGGGCTTGAAGAATGAATAGGAGCATGGCAGGCATTTTCTCCTCCTTGGCTCTGTCTCCTTCCCTACTTTTTCTGTAACACACACCTGCTATAATATAGAACGAAGGCAGAAGTTTTCAGTATTGGTTGCATGCAGTGTAGCACAGAATAATATTTCAGAGAAACACAAGGCTCCTGTAAGGGACGAGCAGCAGAGAGCATGTGGTTCAAAATCCTCATGGGTTATGAAGGAAACAGAGCCCCAGAGATCCTGGGTGTCTTGGCCAAGGTCACACCTTTAATCACATAGGACTTTGTGTTTCCTGTTAACAATTTATAATCAGATCATGACGAGAAAATTTAGTGGCGGAAATATACAACATAATGAATCTGCTTTTAAACTTTTATGTTTTTCATTTGCTTCCTTCTCCCCTGACCCACCCTGGCCAGTCCTATTTATGCTACCATTTTCCTTTCCAAATCAGATTTATTGGATTTTGCCATGAAAAATGAAGTTCTATTGACTCATTCTACAGTCCAAGCCACATTTTACTCCATGACCTACTTAACATCATGTTGCAAATGTCTATAAGAGAGGAAATGTATTGTAGTGACAAACACATTAGATTGGAGGTCAGGGCACGTTGGCTTACTTTGGGGAAATCACTTCATCCCCTGAACCTTAGTTTTCTGTCAAATAAAGGGGCTGAACTAAAACAGTGTGCCTCAAGACCAGACTCTTCAGCTCTTGGCTTCTTAGGAGATGACCTGGGAGCCACAGGGTGAGGGCTCTGCCTTTGTTCAGAACCACTCTGCTTTGATCTGTTTCACTTATTGAACTTCATTTCATTTGCAGATAGGGATCCACTTCTTGGAAGGAAGGAAAAGAGAGAGAGAGAGAAGGACTAGAGGGAGAGAGGGAAGGAGGGAAGGAAGAAAGAAGGAAGCAAGCAAGCAAGCAAGGAAGGGAGGGAAGGAGGAAGGATAGAAGGAAGGAAGGAATATCAGGTTTTACCATGCTCATCCTGAAGTTTTCAGGTTGGTGTGCTTGGGTGAGAGAAGCTGTAGCTTGTCTCACTAGCAGAGGCCACTAATGCCTTTTGGTAACATCTGTGATTACAGAAGAAAGTTTACTGAACATGAAAAAGTTATGTTGAAGCTAAGTATTTTTCCAGAAATTTTGGTTTCATATTTCCTAATGGTTCTGCCTCCTGTGCTTCTGTCATCGAAAAACTTCAAAAAGGTGATCCAAAATTCTATTTTAACCTGATGCGGAACACCTTTAAACTTTTGGGTTTATTTGTGTGTTGCACTAATTCTAACCTTTGGAGGCATTTCAGTGTTGTTAACGGCCCATTGCCATTGTAAAGGTTCTGGAATTGCCCATTTGTCTCTGGAGATGGAATTAAACCAAATACAGTGCTTCCATTGAAAGGCTTCTATTGACGTTGTAACTATATGTTAATCCTCTAAATGTTAAATAAAAGTATAACTTCTGGCACGGTAAAAAAAAAAAAAAGAAGGAAGGAAAGAAGGAAGGAAGACAGGTGATCCTTGAATGTTCCTCCAGTTCTACAGGCTAAGGCCCACTGACAATATCAGAATTAACCAATGATGCTCTGGGGCAGAGCAAATGAGAGAATTTCTGATATTGGGCTTAAAATACAGATTTTAGTTTAGAAGCTGGTTCATCTGAGTTGAACTGCGTTGATAACCAACTCATTGCTCCTGCAGGGGTCTCAGCTTTCAGCCTCTCCTCCACCTGCAGTTCTGCATCTCCTTCCCCTGGTCCTTTTGTGTGCGGTGAGTGCATTCGTAATGCCACTGGGCTCATTCAGGCTATTGCAGGGGCAGCTCGCTCTGCCTGGGTAGCAACCCCTCTTCTGAGATGAATTGACTGTAGTATCCAGGCAAGCGCACGCTGCCAGGACTTCATTCAGGTGGTGCCGGGGCATTTATCTCCCAACATGGGCCCTGGCCTCTAGAAACGATTAAGTCTGCGCTTTGCAGGTGCATCTTTTGTCCCAGGAAAGCTTTCCACTTGAGCTGTCTTGCTGCTCTGTCGCCGCCCAGCTTGTGAGGTGGTCTGAATCTGTCTGAACGGCCCATCATCCACAAAACAAAGTACATTAGCACGACAAAGCTAACCGGGCTTCTCTCCCCCCTTTCACCCTCCTCCGACCTCTCTCTCCTGCTTTTCTCTAATAGCTATCTTTATTTCTTAAAATATTAAATGGAAAAATAAAAAGAAGACATCATGCAACCTTGGCTCCATCTTGTTTGAATAAGACATACACAGCCCCAAACAAACCCAGAGTTCATCAAGAGCACCAGAGCTGTGTGTGTGTGTGTGTGTGTGTGTGTGTGTGTGTGTGTGTGTGCGCTTCACAAAGGGCAGGTGCTGGCAGGAAGCACAAGGGAAAGAAGGTGAGGAGATGATGGCTATTAATGCTTCTTCAATGCACTTACCAAATTAGAATGTCTCTTTACTTTAAAATGGCATAGTCACCCTTCCAGCTTAAAAATGATGGCACTCTCTAAGGGTTATTTGTGCCCAGGAAATAAGGCTAGATTTTAAAAATTAATTTATAACTATTAATATATTTATATAAATTTATAAAATTAATATATAAAAAGGGTCTTTAAGCCCCTTTAACTTAAATATTCTATGGTCATGGATTGGACCCAGCTAGAACTGTTGTGCATTCTCTACCTTTAGGTATCATGGCTAATGCACTTAAAAAACCAAATTAGGATGGAAGGTGTTATTACCTATTCGCAAGAGCAACCACAACTGTTATCTGTATGGGATTCTGTGATACCTCAGACACTTTTACATGCTTTGCCTCTGCTTTTGAGCCTGGCAACATCCCTGGGAGGAAGATATGATTATGTCCATTTTGTAGACAGACAAAGTGAGGCTCAGCAATATTAAGTGGCTCTCTGAAGGGCACACGGCTATTCAACAGCAGAGCAAGGACTCAAACCCAGGTTGTAGGATTCAAAATCCCTTGCTTCAGGTGGTCTCCCTGACAAACACAGCCTTTCCCTTTTGGCTGACTTTTCATGAAAACAATATCTGGCCTAAATGTAGTTGGGCAGAGGTTTGAATTTTTTCCCATTATTATTCTCTGTCCTGCAGTTTTCCCACTATCATCTCCATTTCCATCCCTGCACTATTCTCTTTCCCAAAGATGAATTCATACACAAGCCCTGCTCGGCACTATCCCCAGTCCTAACTGCAGAGAGTCACCTGGAGAGCTTTTTAAAAATACTGATGCCCTAGGACATCGTGTATACTGTATGATTCCACATATGAGGTACCTTGAGGAGGCAAATTCCTAGAGACAGAATGTAGAATGGCAGTTCCAGGGGCTGGGAGGAGGGCAGAATGGGGAACTGTTTAATGGGTATACAGTTTTAGTTTGGAAAGATGAAAAAGTTCTGATGGTGACAGTTACACAATGTGAATGTACTCAATGCCACTGAAATGTACACTGAAAAATGGCCAAAATAGTAAATTCTATGTTATATATGTTTTACTTCAATAAAAATGCAAAAATAAAAGTAAAAAATATTTTAAAATACTGATGCCCAGGTCCCAAACATGACCAATTAATTCAGAATCTCTTGGGATGACATGTGGGCATTGGAAGTTTTTTAAAGCTCTCCAGGTTATTCTAATCTGCAGCCAAGACTGAGAAGCTCACTTTACAGTGCAGACGCAAACTGGAAAGAGGAAAATGAGACCTGTCGCAGAGCCACCCCAGGCTTTCTTGGACATGCACTGGGTGGTTAATCTTGACCCTTACAGACCCCAAATCAGCTTAGAAAAAGAAGAGTAAGACCTGTTGGTACACGTAATGAAGATGTGGGTTGAGTGAAGGGACCACATGATAATGATGAGGTTTTATTCATCATTGTCATTGATAATGTTGTAATTATTACTGATTATAACAACTTTATATCAGTACATTACTTCATATCTTAGAATGAAGATTTTTTTTGTGTGAGGAAGATCAGCCCTGAGCTAACATCCCATGCCAATCCTCTTTTTTTTTTTTTTTTTTCCTCCATAGCATGGCTTGACAAGCGGTGCGTCAGCGCGCGCCCAGGATCCCAACCTGCAAACCTCAGGCCGCCACAGCGGAGCGCGCACACTTAACCACTGAGCCACTGGGCCAGTCCCAGAAATTCCTTTCTTATATGTGCTTATTTTATGTATCTGAAAAGTAGATACGATATTGGCAACTTCATTTTATAGGGAGGACACTGGGGTTCTGGAAGTTAAGTGGCCTTTCCAAGCACATACGGGTCCTGGAGCAGGACCACTGACTCTCCAAATCTCGTTCCCTCCACCCTCCACGCTGAGGTGCGAGTATGTCTGCACCGGGGCAGGTCAGGGCTCCACCTCATTTCCGGGTAAACCCTGCCCTAGGGCCCTCCCAGTGTACTCAACTGGACGATCAGCAAGCGAGAATCAGAGATCTCTCCTCCAGAGCTGCTCTGCATGCCTAAACCCTCATTTCCTCAGCTCCTCTGCTTAAATATCTCTGACTCTCCAAAAGTCAGAGGACATTGAGCCTTGTTTATTAACTCCGGGAATTCATAAACCCGCCGTGGCCCGGGGAGCACTGAGCTTCCAGCCCCAGCCTGGGAAGCCTTTCAGGACCCGCTGCTGAACGCAAAACCGCTTCTCCAGTAACGGGAGATTGCCTGCCCGTGGAATAACCGTCTGCAGTGGTTGCCTTGGCTAATGGATGAAAAGTCTGCCTGCTTACATGTTAAGTATGGCAAAGCGAGCCGGAGAAACTACCTTTCCGCGTCCTTGCAGTGAAATGCCTGACGGGCGCTGAAGATCATGCTAACGAGAGCCCCACGTCTCTCAAGGAGATTTCCAGATGGCAGGAGCCTGTGCACAGAGGAGCAACTCCTTTTCTGCAGCCCCTTATTGTTTGCCTGGCATTTGCACATCCATTATCTCATTTGCGCCTCACCCCATCACCATGAGATGGCAGGGCTGGTATTGTTATTATCCCCATTCTGTACATAATGAAAACAAGGCGCAGAGAGAGTACAGTGTTCATTTGAAGTCCCCCGGGTCTTGGGGCAGAGCAGGACTCACATCGAGGTCTCTGGTGTTCTTTCCTCCCTCCAGGCTGCTTCTCACATCCTTGTCTCAACATATTTAAAGTATCTAACAACATTGTAAATGTTCTTTAATTAATGCTCTTAGTTTACCTGAGGTAGGTACTGATGTCCTATTTCAGCATTATAGCGTATTGATTGAAAACTCAGGATCTGGGCACAAACAAACTGTGTGACCTTGGACAAGTCACTTACTTTTTCTGCCTCAGTTTCCCCATGTATAAAATGAGGATAATTTCAGTGCCCCTTCAGGGATGATACAGTACTCACAGTGTCTGACACACCAATAAGTGCTTGATATAAGTTAGCTCCACGAATTATAGCAGTAATTTGTAGTATTATTGCAAAATAGAATATTTTTGAGGGTTTACTATATGCTAACACTATGCCAAGGGTTGTGAAGGAATCCATACTATATCATATGGCATGGTAATACCCTAGATGAGACAGCCAAGTTGCTTAAAATCTTATTAGGGAGATACACATACGGAACTATTAAGGAATAATATGAAACTGCGCGTAATCAAATAGAAAAATGCATGCTACGTACAAGAAATTCTCTGAGTAATGAAGAGATGAAAAATTATTAAATGCTCAAGTTGAATATCCAGTCCAAATCTTTCATGTGACAGAAGAGAGGTGAGGCCAGAGAGGGTGTGGGTGCAGCCAAGATCACACAGGGAGTGAACAGCAAGTGACAGAGCTTGAAGTCACTAAGTGCCTTAGTCAAGATGGACCTAAATTCTGTGATCCATGCCCTCCTCCACCCCATTCATTCATCTCTTCGTCTATTAAGAACCTGCTGTGGATGGGACACTAGGCTGAGCCCTGGGAATGTGGTGCCCAACCAGCACTTACCCTCAAGGGGCTTACAGTCAAACAGAGACACAGACGGGTCAGTGAATAAGTAAATGCTGAGTACTGAAGTATGGGGAATCGATCACCAAATCTTGCCATTTCCCACTGCACTTACATCCTCTATGGGGTGTCCTTTATGACTTAATTTTAGAGGTGAAAGATGGAAGACCTCTAGAAAGATACAGCATGGTAGCACTAGAAATGGATATTGAAACAAAGGGAAGGTGGTAGACACCAGTGACACCAGTCAGTGTGCCTGGTTCTGTCTTGTATGTGTAGGGACTCTGGTGAGGGGCCATATGTGTTCAGGTTGGGTCTTGGGGAAGGGACCCAGTGTGTGTGAGCGTGCCCTGTGGGTGCACTAAGGCCTCAGTGTGGGGCATTAGTGTGAGGAAGAGAAGCTTGGGTGGGACTCTCGGAGGCTTACTCAAAACTGAAAGACTGAGTACAGTTGGGCGTCTTACTGTGAGACGGAGGAGCCAAGAGCCAGGGATTTGCTTCAAAATGATCGGGGCTGGGGAGGGGCCATGGGTAGGAGTAGAGCTGAAATAAGATTGGCCATGAGTTCATGCTTATTAAAGCAGGATGAAGGGCCCTCCAGGGTTCAGTAGACTTTTCTCTCTGCTTTTCTATATCTTTGAAATTTTCCATAATTTAAAAGATGCCTCGAAGTTTTGTTTTGATGAGAGAAAATGTAGATGAGGGCAGAATATTTATTCCTAAAGCTGTGCACTGTATGTATGGCGCAGTGAACGAGGGGGATGTGTTTTGGGGTACAGCATTTGGGGGAGGGTGGACTTTGGGCAACCTCCTGGGTGTGGTGTCTGAAGGAAGGGAGGGCGAGCGCGGTGTTCAGCGTGGGCATGGGCTCTGTGCGTGTTGCCCTGGAGAGGGTAACATATGGGGGATTGGTCTGGAACATGTGTGCCCGTAGGAAAAGGCCTGTAATACTGTGAGGTAATCTCCTGTTATTTTTAGGGAGTAAATAACATCTCTTATGTAGCAGGTTACGTGGCTCCACAGGCTCTGTCTCTGTCAACTAGTGCACTTAAAATTTGAGGGTGTTGAGGCCTCACAGGAGGGCCTGTTAAGAACTTTGTCATTATACATTTTCCCTTTATGATGAAATACTCCTAATCCATTTTTAGCAAAAGCAGGGATGACTGCTGAGTGTGTGTGTGTGAGTGTGTGCTGTTTCTGTGGGCCAAAGGCAAGATCTATGATTATGGAATAGACAGTAGCTTGCGCTCTCCGTGTTATTTTTTTAATTGTTTTCCTTTGAAATTCCAAAGTTAATGTTTTGTCTACTTTCCATCTGACCCTCTTTGGAGAGCTGCATGTTTGTGTGCGTGTGTGTGTGTTCACCAGAGAGAGATTGAGAGAGGGAGAGAGAGAGGAGAGAGAGAAAAAGAGAAAGAGAGCTGGAAACAAAGAATCGTTGTCTCTAAGCTGTAGCAGGCAGGAAACCCCAATCCTGAGGGAATTTCGCCAGCCAGCCCTGTCCCGGAGTCAGACTCCAGCTCTCTGAATTCAATTTGACAGCTTGTCTGGGACACTTTCTAAGTACCCATTATCCTTCCTTTCTCTAAGTAAAAGCACTGTTATTTTTTGCTGTGGGTGTGCAGTGCGCTGTTATCGCACGTATGTGGGTCGCACAGCGACTAGGACACGCTTTCTCTAAATCATTGGAAACACTTAGACTGTTTCCTAAGACAAGTGTAAATTTGTTCCAGGATGACGAGGCCAACGACTTTCCGTATCATAGCATTGCCGTATTAGAGGCAGGTATAGAGGAATTGGGGGGTGCATTTCTTTTTTTCTTTAGTTCCAGTTAAGGCATGAATTCCCGTATTTGTAGGAGCTCATTCGTCTCAGGACTCATTCAAATTGTGTATGTTTTATTCCTTTGAGGATTTTTTTGGAAATATATACAAAGATATCTTCCAATGATCATTCTCCTCAGTTTCTGTGTTTGATTAATTGATTATATTAAAGAAATATACCACCATCCATCTCACTGCGGAGAGGACTCAGAGGTACATTCATGTCAGCCGTGAGCCCCCTGGAGTTGTGCGGGGCAGACGGGCACGTCTGGGGTGACTGTTCACAGCGGGCACTTCTCTGTCCTGTCTCCTCCAGTTACTCAGACTGGTGGACTGTACCACCACAACGTGAGGGAATGTGAGGCAAAAACCAACCTTTCCAGTGTGTACATATTTGAAGGCCATCCAGGTTCAGCTCGGCAGGGTCGCCAGAGGCACAAGCCCCAGAACAGCCTAGATCACTTCAGGGTTCAAAAGTGTGACAGCTTTGCCCAAGAGGACAGTTTTGCTGATTTAGTTTCTGACCAAAAAATTTGTCCTTCAAATGTGAATCAATTCCTGTCTAGTCTATTTTTTTCAAGAGAATTTTGAATGTTTCCCATTCTCCCTTGGCCTGGCGTACCCTTCCTCCCGTCTTGCCCCCCCACACACCCCAATTCATAGCCTAGGAAGCCACGCTCACCCTTTAAGGCCCAGGTCAGATGACTCCTCAGTAGTCCCATCCGCCCCTTCCCCACAGCATTTTGCCTATACCCACTGTCTCCCCAGTTCAGCATTCAACAGAGTCTATCATAACAGTCTTTTGTCTTGCAAGACTTGAAACATCTTGGAGGTGGGGACTGTGTCTTAGAAAAGGCCATTGGATGGATGGATGAAAATTATAGACAAAATGCCTTAAACTACTCCCCAGGGGTTTACTGTAGAACTAACCCCTCGTGATGTTTCTAAATACGAGAGTGACATTTGGCTTCATCCACTGCAGATATTGTATGGTACTTGCCTCCCCTCTCGGCCTTGTCTTCAATTTCCCCTTCATTTGACCCCAAAGTGACTCCTCTGAAGCTGTGATCAGTCCCATCCATGAGTAGAGGGAAGAGCTCACCAAGAGCAGATTTCATTCACAAGATGATAGTTCTACTTCACCCTTTTGGCCCATTTTCTATCAGCTTAAACTCTCCTTGGAGGCCCTTCAGGTCTGGGTCCTCTTGCTATGTGTGCCAATGCGAAAAGAGGCCGAGCACAGAACCAAGCCAAGGAAAAGTAATATTGCAGGGAAAATTTAATTTCTGCTCACTTCAACCTTCCTTTCCTTGGCTTTCTTGTTGCCCTCCACTGTAAGGGTAACAGGTAGCATTTATAGAGGGTTTACTGTGTGCCTGGAACTTCTCTATTTGCGTCACAGTGACACTTCCTAACAACCAAATTTAGTTGATACTATTATTATTCCCATTTCACATATGAGAAAATGGGCACAGAGAGGCTAAGCCCAAATCACAAAGCTAGTACAAAGCAGAGCAGGGACTGTTATCGTACACCCTCCCCACCCAGGCAGTGACAAGGCTCCACAATCGCCTCTTCCTTTTCCGTCCACCACATCATGGAAAGGCCAATTTCTTTCAGGAACCCGATGTCACCTAGTTGTTAAGATGATATGGTTAGATTAATTGATTCCTGCTATGGTCCAAAAAATCTGGAATCTGACTCTCAGTTCTTGCATTTCAAGGCAGCTATTAGGTGGTTTCACAGATGTTCTTTTCATTATTGTGCTGTAAAATTTGCATAACATTACACATCCTTTTGTGTTTAATATTACACTTAAAAGAATAAAGGAAAAATAGAAAAGATTTAGAAAAAGAAATGATATATTGAGTAACACTCTGTCTGTCAATAAGAATTGCAATAAACAATTCAAAAAATGAGGCCCGGTGGATATTGGTCCAATAAATCTAGTCATGAAATCTCCCTCAAAGTACAATAGGTAAGCAATCCTGTGACTCGATAAAATTCATTGACCCATGGTTCTCAAGGAGGAGAAAGAAAGATATCAGAATCTCCTGGGACTGTTTTAAAAACACATGCCAGGACGCTCCAGCCACCCAACCCTACACCCCTTCTCAATTCATATGTGCCCTTGGTGGCCAAAGGAGCCGGGGAAGAATTCGGAGCTGAGCATTTGTGTTCTTGGAATAAGTGCCTTCCATAGCTTCTGAAATCTTCTCCCCCACAGCACCCCACCATTGAGAGCCAGTGCTTTATTTGAATACCTAATGGAGAAGAAATGTGCCTTCATTGTCCTGCATCAGCATCCTCTCTGCTACCGCAGTATTGGCCTTTTCTCATCGCTCTGCCAGAAGGCACCCCAACCCCTGGTCCTCTTCCTGGCTGCTTAGAAGTTCCCACTTTGGCCTCTCTGCCCTCCTTGGGCATGTCTTTTGTCTTTATGTTTATCAAAGCTGCTCTTAGATGCTCCCTGGAGAAATCAAAGACCTGATAGGTACCGACTTGCTCTGCAGTTCTCGTGATGGTGACAATGAATACATAAGCCCTGCTGCATTTTAATAAGGGAAAATGGCTTTAAGTAAATCTCAGAGGCGGAAGGGGAAAAGGTGCAAGGCTGTGGGAAAGGTATTTGGGGTCAACTTGACCTCCGGAGCACCCTTCCAGACTCAGCCAGACAACTGCTCTGCCCACCACTGCCAGAGAGGGGCCTCCCTTGACCATGCGTGCTCAGTGGGGTGGAGCTCCACCACAGTTACACCAATTTCTCTGTGGAATTTCATACTTACTAAGCGGGCCACTCGGGTTTCGAATTTCCAATTCATCTCCAGACTCTTGACTATTACTATTTTAGGCCTCCCATCTCTACCAAGTTTCACTTTGACTTAGACATTTCATCCCATTTCAGATAGCAAAGCTAAGACTCAAAGTGAAATCGGCCTCGGTTGATGTAACTCCATTGCCATTACCATGTGGTCTTGGTTTGTAATAGAAACCAGAAGTGACCCCTTTGGCTGTTTTGAGGAATGGGGTCCCAAAGTACTTTGGAAAGAAAAGACTAGGTCCACAAGTGCTCCAGATGGCCCACTAGCGGCCATCTCCGTGCAGAATATTCCAAATGCATTTGTTCTGCAAAATACACTGATTTAGAAATTCTACAGGGCAGTTGTTTGGGGGGCAGCAGTTGCTGGAAAGTATTTAAAAGAAGCTTGTTTAGTCTCATGCTCATAAACCAAATTTTTTCTACACATCTATCTATCCCTCTTTCTATCTGGAGAAAGACAGAGAAACTTCTCTCCTGCCAGATGGAAGTGTAAAGGTTTGGGGCATTTTCTAGTGAAAAGCCAAGGCACAGATAAGCATCATTTGTTATTTTAATATAAAACCCTTTCCCAAGTTTTTAAAAATTAATTAATTATTTTTTTTTGCTAAGGAAGATTCGCCCTGAGCTAACATCTGCTGCCAATCTTCCTCTTTTTTTTGTATGTGAGCCGCCACCACAGCATGGCCACTGACAGATGAGTGGTGTAGGTCCATGCCCAGGAACCAAACCTGGGCCACTGAAGCTGAACGTGCTGAACTTAACCACTAGGCCATGGGGGCTGGCCCCCCAAGTTCTTTTTATAGATGTAACAACTTACTCTCTTCAGAGAAGCCCTTACCTAAGATAATACAGAACTTACTTCTCATGAAATATCCTTTTGGGAGAAGATCAAGTCTTTGAGGAAGAAATCCTGTGGCTAGAAACACTAGCCAGGACCCGTGTGGGGTTTTCCTCTCTAGTCTCAGGGATAAGTAAGCTCCCACATGTGAGGATCAAGAAAAAGTTTAACATGCCTCTTTGATGAAGTTCAAATTCTTGTGTCAAGGCTACTCTAAAGCGAAAGTGGTCAAGTAAGTGGGATTATTGCTTTATCAAAATCCAACACACCCTTCAAAGCCTAATTCTCTTTAGTCCTACTCTCTTTAAGGTGAGACTACAATCTCTTCTCAGAGCCCCACCAAGCTCACAAGCTATCTGTGGACATAATTACAGATTACCTTGCTGTCTTGAATTGTGAGTTTTGTTCTACATCCTTTTTTCCAGCCCTGTAGATGTTCAGTAAATACCATTGACATTTGATGGATTCACCAGGGAAGGAAAATCTAGTGTTTTTCAATTTAATTAAATATTTGCTCAATCCTTTTGCTCCACTAATGAAAGAACTAGAATAAATTAGCTTTGGTTGACACAAGAAAGATTAACTTCTTATCTCTAATGAATTAAACTCTGGAAAAGAATAGCAGCTATAATTCTATAGGACACTTTGGAGTACAGAAAGCATTTTCACATGCACGATCTCATTTATTCTCAACAGAACCCTGTGAGGATTAAATGGGCCATTTGCTTTTCCACACTCTTAAATTTTAAAATAAATCATTTTTTCCCCAAATATCTACCTTTTGCAGATAGGTTAACTGAGCTTCGGAGAGATTAAGTCACTTGGCTAAGTTCACACAGCTCGTAACTGGCAGTGATGGGAGGCAAACCAAGGAGTTCTGAACCCCAATCCAGAGTTCTTTTCATTGCAATGAGCTATTTCCCTGTTTGGAATGGATTTAAGAGAAATTATGGAATTCCTTCCCATGAAAATCTTTAAGAGCTCTTAATAACACCACAAACAAACTTATGTTTGATAAGATTTAGGTACCACTCTTCTAAAAAGAGGAAAATTGTTCTCGGTATAATTTTGAAAAATCTTTGAGCTTAAAACGTCTTTGGACTGCCTGTAAAATAATTATCAGTCCTGTCCAATATCCTAGAGGAGTTTAGAGAAAGGCAGTTTTTATGCTATGAGTCATACTTTCAATTTCTATTAAAATTCTTATATAGCCACATATGCTTTCTCTCAGGCTTTGGGCCTCCAGGCCTGTGCTAATTTGCATGTCTGGTTTAGATAATGTCTGAGGTCCCTTCCAGTCTGAAAAGAAGCCTCTGATTCTGTTATATAAGTGAGACCACATTCCATCTACCAAGAACTGATGGTTCTTTTTCTTTAACTACTGTGCTTTTGATGTGTGGACGCAGGACTCAGGGATGGAAGAATTTCATGCTTACCTACCAGCCCACAAAGATGGAGTGTTCCTTCAGGATGAACTCACCTGTCCACTTTCCCCACACTGACCCCAGAGAATTGCCCTTTCCTGCAAAACACTTCTGATGCAGGTCAAAAGGCAAATCACAGGAAGTGTTGGGAGTTTAAGTTTCTTGATTTGAATGGCCATCCTAAATCAGTGTGAGTCTAAGACCAGAGATTTGGCAATTACCCTGATTATAAATATGCAGAAATTGATGAACTCTTTACTAGACGAGGCTCATCTCACCTTTTACTATTCCGCACCCAAACATCAAAAAGATACTGTTGGTGCTGGCCTGGTCGGGTAGTGGTTAAGTTCACGTGCTCTGCTTCAGCGGCCCAGGGTTCACAGGTTCAGATCCCAGGTACAGACCTACACACCGTTCATCAAGCCATGCTGTGGTGGCATCCCATATACAAAATAGAGGAAGATGGGCACAGATGTTAGTTCAGGGCCGATCTTCCTCAGCAAAAAAAGAAAGAAAAAAGATACTGTCAAGTTTTTAAACTAATTTTGTTGTCTCCCAACATAATGTAATTCTCACTAGATAAAGAAATAATAATAAGGAATTGACTTTCTAGAAGGGCTTTGAGATCAATGCAGGGTGATCCAGTCACTTTTCATAAGAAAACTGTGGAGCTATGGAGAGCTCTATTTTCATAACATTAGATGGGTCAAGTCTTTGCTCAAATTATATATTATCAGTGAGGCTCTCCCCATCCTGGCACTGCCTATTCCCCTCCCCTGTTCTCTTTTTCTCCACAACACTCACACCTTCTAATATACAGTGTAGTTTACTATTTGTTTTGAGTGTAAGATCCACAGAGCAAGGATATTTGTCTTGCCGTCATTGTATTCTCAGCACATAGAACAGTGTCTGGTACAATAGTAGAAATTCAATAAAATTTTGTTGAATGAATGAATGTGTTGTGGGATATGAAATATCAATTAAGTCCAATAAGCTAGTGCTGGGAGAGAAGAGCCTTGGGGCAGGAAGGAAACAAAGGTGATTAAGACACAGTCCCTTTCTTCCAAAAGATAACCAAGCAGGAGGGAGAAGTTCACAAGGAATTACACTAGAAAGCTGAACAAGACAAGGGCCATAAACATGAGACCCTCACCAGTGAGCCGTGACCTGCAGAACTCTGGAAGAAAAAATGCAAAAGCAGAATTGTTGGGCAGACACCAGATTGTATCTGCTATTGCCAAAGAGAGTGAGAGCAACCTTACTGTGAAAACTGGCGATGCAAGAGGGTCGGATCCAGGCTCTCAGCAGAGCGAAGGGGGTTGAACGCAGACCGCCTCTCATTTATCCTCAAGCCCTGTTACCTAAGTGAACTGTTATGTTTTCTTTTTCCTACCTGGAATCCTCTTAAACCTGAGGCAGATTTGACTGAAGAAGTATGCAATTTAGGTACATCTACATGGCCCGATGTGGAGGGGAGTTTTGGCAAACACCCAATTAATCTAGTCAGTATGAATTGCTTTTCCACATAAGGCTGGCCTAAAAATCCCACTTTGAGGCTTTATCAAAATAAAGAGGTCATTTAGACTTCTGTGTCATTTAGACACAGAGCCCGTGGGAGAAACAGAATGAAAGAAGGGTCCAGGGCCAGCAGGGAGCCTCGCGTGACTGTGGCAGGGCTATGCCTGGCAAATGAGCCGTTTGCCTCTCCCAACTTTTCATATTTAAAAACCATCCATTTTGTCAAGCATTTTTCTCATATGTCTTTTTTCCCTTTGCACATATAATATCTTAAACAGTACCTCCATTATACTCCACACAGCGGGGCCGGTTCTGAGGCTGAGGGGCTGTTTGGATTCCAGGACTAGATCCTTGAGCAAAGGAAATCTGATCCAGGATGTTTTTTTTTCTGTGAGTTCCAAGTTTGAGAAAAGCCTTCCCTAGATATTTCCCTCCTCCTGAGGTCTCAATGGGAGCCAAGATCCTGTGTTGCTCTTTGGAACTTAAGATGCCACTGAGGCGAAGGCGAAGGCTACCCCTATAGAAAGGGTTGAAATGAGGTGAAGACACAGCTCTCTTCAGGGCCAGCTGGGCAGGGAGTTGGGGAGCTGACAGTTGGAGGAGCAAGAAGGATGCTGGGTAATACCTAAGCCTAATATGGCAGCAGGCAGCCCATAGCCAACACCCCTCACTATCTTCTAGGGCAGTGTTTCTCAAACTGGGGTCCAGTATAATCCTTCTCTTCTTTTAAAAGAGAGTCACACTTTATTCCAGTTTGGGAATCACTGATCCAAGAGCACAGGAATGGAACTGTGCTTCCTCCTTTATCAAAATAAAGAGGTCATTTAGACTTCTCTTCCTTGTCAAGGCCTTCCTTGATGAGCTTTTAACCTCAATTCACCAAAATGAACATTTTAGAGGTGTAAGCAAGATTGTCTAGACTACATGCATATTGTGTATATTTTTAAATTGCCCTTTATTGAATGCTTATCTAATCCTCCTAGCAACCCTATAAAGCATTGATTATTAATGCTTTTTAGAGAAACAGAACCTGAAGTTCAAAAAGGTAGACCAAGATCTGCTCAGCAAAGTAAATGGCAGAGCTGGAGTCTGAGCCCAGAGCTGACTGACTCTAAACACCATGTCATGACCATTGCAGTAACCCCCAGGCCTCCCAGAGAGAAAGGACACTTTCACAAGGGCATCCTACACCCTCTCATAGCTTAGGCACTTGTTGCCTTTGCACTATTTTTGAAGTGGGAGGCCAGGCCAGTAAGTCAGACACCTAGTGTGGTCGTTGGCAGGAGTTATTGTGGAGACAGTGACAGACAAGAAGTCGGTCCTGAGTTGTGGGTGGGGAAGGTTCAGGGAGCAGAGCAGGCTTTCATGGGTAGGGTGCAGTGTCAAAGGCAGCATGAAAGAGAGCCCAGAGAAAAGCAGCCTAAGTTGGGTTGGTGGCCTCTAGGACCTGCTCCTCCTCAAAGACTGGGCCTGTTAGAACCCAGGACCTCAGAGGGAGAAGGGGTTTTAGAGGATCATTTAGCCCAACAAAAAGGGTGTTGCTCCCATATACAGTTCTTCGCTGCAACAGTCTGGGTGATGTACTTTCCTCCTAGTGGGCTTGGTTCTTTGTCGGGAATTTCAGGGCTCTGTGTCTCAGGGTCCCCCCCTTATTAGAGCTTTTCTCCTTTGACATCCTCCCTCTTTCAAGAACGGAGATCTGGATCTGACTGAGAGAAGCCTCTGCTCTGAGCACGAGCAGCCTTGCCCATTCTTCAGCTGAAAGGTCTGCATTCAGAAGCCGGGCTTTCCAAGGATAAACAGGGTGAGGTGCTGCCAACCTTTTCAACAGCAACCAGAAATTTGATGAGAAGTTTCAGGGAAAATTTATCTTTTTCCATCAAGTAATTGAAAGCATGGCTTTATGTCGTAAGGGATGAAGAGAGAGGCTCTTGTGTGCTGGTGTCGCTGCATCTTTGGCCTCTGGGTGAGGCCATGACAAAGTGGAGAGCTGCATGTTGCCTGGGACATTAGGCCTTCAGACAGCGAGCTGTAGGCATCAGAGCAGAAAGAAACGTCTTTCCTGAGACATTTGGCCAGATTTCTAGGACCCGTTTAAAAGCTTCACACAGGAACTGAGCTAACACTGCGATGTCTATGAGAGGTCATGTCCAGAAAAAGCTTTCCCCTTCCAACAGGGACTTTTCAGAAAAAAATCTCCATGCTCATATTTCTCTACCCCGGGAGGTTCTCCTGGAATCTAAGAGGCCATTTAGTATCAAATTCAGCCACACCGAGCATCATATAATGGAGATACTGTTCAGGCCATTATATACGTGAGACTGAGTTATCCACAATGCCTGGCAGTGCCCAGATTCTCCAGAACAAGGCTCTGGTCTCTCTTTGCTTAGGCAAAAGTTGATCTCAGGACTGCCTAAAACCATAAATTCTAGGCGAAGCCCTTTTGGTGACTCCTCTGAAAAGGAATCACAGTAAGATTTGTCATCTTGCTACTTTATGAAGCCAGGGGGTACCAGCCTTCACTGCAGTGAAAAGTGAGTTTGGCAGAACCAGGGTGTGATTGTCTGCTGATAAAGCCATCTGCCACCACACAGAGTTCACCACACAGATCAGATGGTCAACTGATCTGCTGGTCCCTAACGGTCACAATTTTGCACACTGTGTCTTTTCTGAAGTCAGTTCTCAGAAAGCAGACAGCATGCACCCATGTTTGAGGTAGGGGTTTCAGTGCACACTCAGGCTGCTGTGTGGACCAGGCACACCCCACCAGAGAACTCCACGAGCTGACCGGCAGCGGGGCTCAGGGAGCTCTGACACAGACAGGCGTCAGGCCCAGGGAGGGATGGTGTTTGTGCAGAAATGTGAGTCGCTGGGTTAACTCCCTGGTCCAGGCTTTTCCATTTTGGTTATAGACATATTTCTGTTTGTGTGTCTGGGACTAGAGCTGACCACACTGCTAAGTTTTTACTTGCATGACTTTTAGTAGGAAAAAAACAAACATTCATTTCAACAATAACATTGTTAAAAATATATAAAATAAAATGGAGGCCACTTAAATGAGTGGCATCCAGTCCTCGACTTCCCTGTGGGGACAAGGTTTTAGCCTATGCCTTGTAATAGGTGGATTGTGGTCCATTAGGCTCAAACGGCATGCAGGGTTACTACAGTCTTGACTCCTCATCGCCCAGACTGAAATCGCCTGGAGACTTTATTTAGTGGGGAGAAGTCAGGGTAGCGGTGTTGAATTCTCTTCAGCTAGTGAGATAGTGAACAATAAGAGGAAGTGTGTATATCTAGCAAGAAGGAGAAAATATTGGCTGAGTTCATTCATTCATTCAACAGATGTTTATTGTGTGCTTGCTCTGTGTTGGGCACCATTCTAGGTGTGTATTACATCAGAGAACAGGAGAAAGATCCCTACCCTTGGGGATCTGACATTCAGGTGGGAGATGCAGACAGTAAACAACAAACATGAATTAATTATTGATTAAATTAGGTGATAAGTTGAAAAAACAAGAAGTAGAGCTGAGTAAGGGGGATGGAGGGGTGGGGAGGGGGAAGTTAATGAGTGTTTGGTAGAGCTGGCAAACATGTTTCTGGGTCTAAACATTTTTTTTTTTTTATTGATGTTTTAATGGTTTCTAACATTGTGAAATTTTGGGTTGTACATTTTTGTTTGTCCATCACCACATATATGACTCCCTTCACCCCTTGTGCCCACCCCCCACCCCCACTGCCCTGGTAACCACAGTCCAGTTTTCTCTGTCCATGTGTTGGTTTATATTCCACATATGAGTGAGATCATACAGTGTGGGTCTAAACATTTTTTAGATATGTAATAATGATGCAATTAATAATATTAATTGCTCACATCTCCCGAGGCTGACTCCGTGCTAGGCCCTGGGCCAGGTGTTCACTTGGATATCTCACTTAATCTGCAAGGCTGCCCTGTTCTTCAAACCTCTAAGACAGAATGCTAGACCTTAGTTCTTGGCTTGGCCTTCTCCGTCTTTATGCTTTATCTTTGCAGTAGGATTTACTCCAGAAACACTGGTTTTCCCTTAAATCTTGCATTCAGTAGATGTTCCCGCAAACTCCAGTGCCCACAAAGTGCATTTGTTAAACTCCTCAGTAAATGGACTCAGGGTGTCCTTTGTGGATTCAGGTGCCAGTGGCAGGTTTTTTCATGCAAATAGATGGGAATGAAAAGGCAAATGGAGGGAGACTTGGGGTCTTTGTTGCTCTGGTCCCAAACGCTGCTCTGGGAGTGCTGGCTAAAGACACCAGCTCGCAGCATGGCCCAGTGCTGTTTATTGCTCTGTTAACTTCACAGTGAGGAGGCAGTTCAGGCTGACTCCTGGTGGCCTCTCTGTTTCTGTCACCTCCTTTTTTACCTACTAGAGGACTTTAGGGTTGGATGGGACCTCGAAAGTCCCCTCAGCAAGGCTTTCCCGTGAGGTGGGCCTGTGGGAGAATCGTGTCCTAGAGCTCTGCAGCCCTCCTCAGGCCCTGAGGCATCGCGAAAGAAGGGGCTGCCAAGCACTTCTCTGATTAGGCATCAACTTCAAACCACGACTGGGCACTTAGAGTTACAGAAAACTCCAGCCATCACCAGCCCTCTCTTGGTTGGAGGGAGTTCATCCATGCACTCTGTAACTTTTGCAGGCCTGCTCTGTCCTCAGAGCTAGAATAAAAGAATAGGAGGAAAAGCTGATAAGAAGTCTGTGGTAACTATAGCCATAGCCATAATTTGGGATAAAAAAAATGGTTCTTTGGAATGGATATAACATAGCTTTCAGATAAGATGGAAGCCTTCAGTAGACTAATGATTGAGTAGAAAAATTGACTAGAAAACTTTGAGACAGAGATTTTATCAGTGCAGTAAGTCAGAAGTTAAGTCAGAACTTCAGATGACACACACCAATTCCTGGAACTTAGTGATTTGTTTTTTCTTTTTGCATGAATTTGTCACTTTCTATTCCACTTTCTGTTCTCTTCCTACTAGATTCACCTCCCTCCCCAGGCGCTCTGATCCATCCTACGCATCAGCACCAGCTTCATTCTCCACCACACCCTGTTTTCATGGTATTACTGCATGCCCAGAACCTCTCTTGGTTTCCACTGCCTGTAACCCAAGGTCATTAAGCTTGCTTAGCTGGCATCGACATGGCCTTGAACGTGGCTTAGGCCTTCTCTTCTAACCCTCTCCCCTTGCCCATCCAGAGGGCATTTCAGTCTTGTAGTTCCACCCATGGCTGTCCACCAGACATCACGTTCACATCTCACCACCCACCTCTACCTTGTGCCTGCCTGCGTTGCTCACTCTCTGCTCCAAAGAGGTCTCACTCAAGTCACACGGCCCCAGTTACGCTCACCTCTCCCTCCTCACCCTCCCGGAGCCTTAGTATCTCCACCACTCCTTTGACACATGACCCGTATTTCATCACAAGCTTAGTTATCTTCTCATATTTAAATGCAAGGATAGGGAACTTGTTTCATGTTACTTCACTTCCACTGTATGGCCAAGCACACAATACATTGCAGAAGTCACTTCCAAATAAATTGTTGGAGGCCTAACTAGCATCCTCCCACAAAGAAACCTCTTTGAAGACTCTCTCCTTTCCTCTTGCTTATACCAGCATCACACACACCCTGCAGACCCCTGCAAAACAGCCCAGGAAATGCCCATGAGAGCCTTCAACCTCGTTGCAAGCTTGTAAACAAGTTGGTTTTTTGTTGGTTGGTTTGTTTTTGTTTTATTTTGTTTTTAAGCAAGCAGGAGAATCTATTTGCAGAAGGAACTGTGAAAAAAAAAGTCAAATAAAAATAAAAATAGCCGACTTAAATGAGTTGAGCTTTGTGTCTCTTTTGTCCCCTTCCTTGCTCTGCCTCCCCATCCTCCCCCTTTCTGTTTTGCTTTTCATGCAAATTGCTAAAGACTGTAATTTAAAAACTACACTGGCTTTTCCAGAGCCAGCAGGAATGTGCATCCGCACGTGGATTTTTCCACAAGAAAATTGTCCCTGTCTTTTGGTTCTTCTTAGCCAGAAACAAGGAGAACAGGCAATGGGATGAGCCCATCCATCTTTGCAGTTCTTACTCTCATTTCTTTGAGAGGCTCAGAAGGGGTGGAGGGGATGGTTCGTGTTTCACCCTGCCAGGCTGTCGTTTGATGAGGTTTGTGCTCCATTTGTTTGGATGGTTTTTATGGTTTCTTTGTTGTTCATGGGAAGACTTTGAAAGTCATAATTCTGTGTCCTTAAGCTCTTCTGCTATTCCTGCAAAATGTCTCAATGGGACTCACACCACAAGAGAGGAAAAGAGGAAGTTTTCAAGCCGTTAGTTAAGCAATTTCTGAACACAGTTATGGAGGCACATGGATTCTTTCAAGAAAGAGATTGGGATTGCAAATGTTCAGGTTCAATGCAGTATTCACAAAGGCAATCTGGAAGCAAGCCTCTAGTCACTTCCAGGTGGGAAGCATCTCTCCATCCCCTCATTTCTTGTCCCAGCCCCTTTTCCGGCCACACCTCTGGCCTTTGTCCTTTCTCTGTGGTCATCAGGCCCAGCCCTCTCCACTCTCAATAGAAAAGCGTTGGCAGAGACCCTGGAATGTGCTCACACCTCTGAGCTGTCCCCCACAACATCAGGGTGCTGAAGTGAGGGGCTGGAGTTGGCCTCCCTGAACATCTTGGGCCTGGACTTGGAGACATTCTTCCCATGGAGTCTTTAATCTGGACACTGCCCATCTCTTCAGAGCTGCTTAAAGGACTTTGCTACACAGCTATAGACATTTTTTTCTTTCTAAACTTATATTAGTTTATATTTATAGAAAGCTTTCTAAGATGCCTCACATATGTTATCACATTTGATCATTACCTGCCTTAGTCCATTTGGGCTGCTATAACAAAGTACCGTAGACTGGATGGCTTATAAACAACAGAAACTCATTTCTCGCAGTTGTGGAGACTGGAAGTCTGAGATCAGGGTCCTAACGTGGTTGGTTCTGGTGGGGGCTCTCTTCTGGACTGCAGATGGCTGACTTTTTTTGTACCCTCACATAGCAGGAAGAGGGCAAGCTGGCTCTACGGCCTCTTCTTAGAAGGGCACTAATCCCATTCTTGAGGGCTCCACCCTCATGACTCAGTTACCCCCAAGGCTCCACCTCCTAATACCATCACAGTGGGGATGAGATATCCACATATGAGTTTAGGAGCACACAAACATTCAGTTCATAACATTAGCACAACCCCATAAGGTAGATAAATCATGTAAATTTTTATTTGTATATTAAAGAAAATTGCGGCTCAGGGTTGTCTTATGATTCATCCACATAGTGGCAACAAATAGTGGCAGGGATAGAACTTGAACCAATCCTCTGACTTCAAAATCAAGGTTCTTCCTGTTACTTTGGCTCCCAATCAGAATGTTAATGTTCCTTCCACTCACCCACCCTTAGCCCAGGGGAAGAGGCACTTCTGGAATTTAGCCATGCTTAAAAAGTTACTGCTGAATTAATTTTAACTTCTCCTGATCACTAAAAGAATTAATCATCATACAACCTTTCTGAAAAGCAGGAGATGCTCATGTACCTCTGTTTGTTGTTTTCCATTAGACCCTTCTTATGACTCAGTCAGGAGAGGAGGATGGGGCAATAACATGAATTCTGGCCTCAACAAAAGTAAGTAAATGTCACTGTGCTCTTTGGGAGGAAAACATGTTTCTGAGGATGGGGTGGAGAACAGGGTCCTGCAATAAAGGGGAATGGGAGCCAGCATTTTTCTCCTGCTTTTTGAGTGGACATCAAATTGAATTGCTCATTTATGCCCTGTTAGTAATACCCACTCCTTGAAAGATGGTATAGGATTTTCATTTAGACCTTTGAGTTTTGTTTCATTGCATTTGGTTTTAGAATTTTTGAAGTTAGAAGGTTTCTCAGGATAAGACTGTATGTGAATGAAAGGCTACTGGTTTGGATTCTGTCATTTAAGCCATGATGATGACCCTCTATAACTCTGCTCCTCTAATTGTCAAAGCTTAGTCATACCAGCATCCCTATCCCTGTTTCATGACAGGCTGAGATGGAGGATAACCTGATGAGGACATTGTAGGGGTCTGAGACATCAATTTCTATTGAAGTCTGACCCAAAATCTCCCATTGAGGGAGCAGGTAAAGAGAATGACTCATAAACTCCTGAACCAGAGAGTGTCAATCTTGCTGTCTCTAGGAAGTAAAATATCAAGCACATGAATGGACAGTGAAGGAAATTCTTTCAAGAAAGTGGTTGGGATTACAAATTAATGCCCAAGCAATAACTAAGATCTCTTTCAATAATATATATTAGTTATTTGTTTACTCTGTACCCAACACTTGGCACTATGGGGTTCACATAGGTGAATCAGACACAGACTAGTCTCTCAAGCAGGGGAGAGGAGTCAGGCACACACATAACTCTTTTCATCTAGATGGTCTCAATGAAGGCCTGTGGACCTGGAGCCATATGAGGTGGCTCTAGAAGGAGAGGCAGGATTTGGACCTGGGGAGACGGGGAGGACAGACCCTCCTGGGAGAGGAGGGGCCGGGGAGAGACATCAAGGTTGACATGTCTGATAGTCAGTGAGCACTCCGGATTCCTGGAGTTTAGGATGCATGAAGGGAAAGAAGTCTGGGAAGATAAGGAAGGGGGCGTGAAGGACGCTGTGAAGATAGACGTTAAGTCTTTAGTCAACAATGAGTCCCTAAGGTTTTTGCATGGTGGAGTGAAATGGTTTAGGCAGATTAAACTGGCTAAATAGCATATGATGGGTCAGTGGGAAGAGAGAGGAGTGGTGAGGATACCAGTCAGACTAAGCTATAGACTGTGCAAGAAGCGATGCAGATCTACATTGGAGAAGCCTGACAGGAGTGGAAAGGACGCAGGTGAGAGATACCACGGAGGGGAGCTCACAGAATATGGAAGCATGGGAAGCAGGTCATCTTTGCTCAAATGTTACCTTCTCATTAAGGACCTTTCCAAATTTTCTATTTAAAAATGAATCCACAGCCCCAATACCATTAGACACGCTCTACTGTATGTTTATCATTGTTTCCCTGGGGACCAGGAACTGCTGGTTCATTGCTGAATCTCCAGCATGGAGAACAGTGCCAGCACATAGTAGACTCTAGATAAATATTTATAAAATAAAATGAATCCATGAGTGAGGAGAGCAAGTGAATACATGAATGAGAACACACATCTGTCCTCCTTCTGGAGGGCATTTGACGAGGCGTTTCTCCTCCCTCATGGAGAGCAGCCCCACTCACCGTCTGTCTTTTCCGCTTGCCACAGGTCCGCCCCTTGCAGGAGCACAGACAATGAGTAAGAATACTGAGCAACGGCCCCAGCCAGGTACCTGTCCATCACATGCAGTCCCTCCTTTGCTTCTTCTGCAGCTGCTGAGTCCACATGGTCCACTGAAGAGGACTGAAACCACACACTGCATTTGTCCTCACTTGTCTCTTTCATAGATTTGACTCTTCGTAATAGATGTGTGAATTCAGTAATCAGGTAGAGACTGGTTAAATATCAGAGGTGAAAGGAACTTAAAAATTAAAGTTTCAGTGCCTCATTTTGTAAAATAGAGAAACTGAGGCCCAAGAGGTAAAGTTACTTGTCAAAAGCTGCAAGCTGGTTTATGAGAGAACTAGAGCTATTACTCCAGACTTCCAAGTTGCTATCTGAGCCTTTTATGCTTCACCAAACCTTACTTCCAAAAATGCCCTCATCCTCATCCAGTGATGGATCACCTCAACAATTTAGGCGGGGGAACTTTTCAAATGGAATTGGAGACTCTTAGTATTGGAATGGAAGTTAGAGACGTCTAGGTCTATAACATCCTTCTAGAACATCTCAGTCTTATAATTACCTCACCTCTACCTGAATACTTACAGCAACAAGGAGTTCACTACCTAGCTAGTCTCAATTCCAGTATTTGAGCCAAAGTCCCCATTCCTATAACTTCCACTCAAGTTTCCTAGTTTGCCCTTTGGAGAAGTCTTCCTCCCATTTGATATGAAGATCCTTTATATGTCTGAAGACAGCTGTTGTGCCCACTACCAAGTCCAGCTCTGTCTTCTTTATGTGACACAGCTGAGATTAAGTCTGAACAAGCCATGTGCTTTGAGATGGACAAACACTGTTTTCCATCTCCACTGAAGACGGGGTAATAGAAAATTGACCTACATGTCATCAAAAAGGTTAAGAAAGAACTTAGTGACTGAAATGTAAGTCAGACAGTGAGGATTTGACATAGAGGATTTGAGGAATCCCCAAAAACAACAAAATTAGACATTACTTGCCAAAAATATGTTAGCTGTCATACTGTGTAGATGAAAAAGGGTAGATTAAGTAGCCTTAAGGACTCTTCAAGTTAATTCACAATTGTATGCAGAAATCCAAAAATCACGTTGATTTTTTAAAATTGCCATTATAATTGTAAAAACAGTAAAACTGTACCAAACATTTGACAACATGGCCAAGTTGTGATCCAGCTCTCTACTATGATTTCCTCACCTGAAAAAAGAAAGACAACCCTCACATAAACCAAGGTTGCAAAGATTTTTTTTAATGTTTAAATAATCACATAAGTTTCAAGTAAACTGAGATATTAAGAATAGTCATTTTATAGCTAAAATACAAATTCTGGTTAGCATTGACATTTCTAAGCTTAAAATCACAGAGTGTTGTACTAGAAGGGAACTGAGGAATCCAGTAGCTCAGCCCACTCATTTTCCAGATGAGAAAACTGATACCCAGAGATTGTCCAATGAGTTATTAGTTTATCACACCACTGGGGCTAGAACCAGGCTGCCTGATTTCCAGGTGTGTGTTTTATGCTACGTCATGAAACAGAGATGTGTAAAGTTGTTGGTAATAGGTAGAGCTATTAAAGACCAGTAATCATTAGACCTTCTTGAAGCCCATTTAAATAAGCTATTCCTCACCTTATTCATTATGACTGAATCTTAGCCAGCTCCTTTCCAAGTGGTTTCATTACACTGTTTGAGATAATAGCAGCATTATCTACAAATTTTAGGCACCAAATATAAAAAAATGATGCCGTTACTATTCCATGTTGTTTCTGTGATTACTGGGATCAAGACCATAACTATGATCATGATCATTGAGGGCTGCAAATAAAGCAGTAAAGTTTTCTGAAATCAGGCTTTGCTATGATATCGAAATAGAAGTATAAACTCTTGAGGTATTCTTATTGTTAATGCTGTTGTTTTTATATTTTTAATACCTGTGAAGCAAATTTTCTTTTTCCTTCCTTAGATCCATATCAAATCCTGGGCCCTACCAGCAGTCGCCTAGCCAACCCTGGTGAGTTTACTTTGGCCTGCAGAGTTTTCTTTCCAGAATGTTCTGTAGCTTTGGGAGGTCACAGAGACCTCTGTCCTAAGTTCCGACACCTCACTGGGGTGTAACATCTACCTCTTTCCTTGAACGTTCACCATCTGTTTCTCTAGTGTTCAAGGGAGAGGTCAGGGCTTGTTATTAGGTGGCAATAATGTCCATTAGCTGAAGATTCTTCTGGAAAACAAACATATTAGCATCACATATCTGCACGGAGGTTTAGATTAGTCATAAATGGCACAGGTACAAGTTTCAGTAGGGAAAGATGGGGGAAAAAAGGAAACAATTACACCAAGCTCTCAGTTATCTTCCTCATGGAAGGCACAAGTGAATAATATTCCAAAGGCATTTTATTCTTGACTCTAGAAAGTGTTGCAGAGTTATCTGGCCTTATGAAACAAGTATGTCCCTGAAAAGTTGCAGATAAATTTGACAATGAATTTTAAGGATTTATTCTTAAAAATAACTCTCAAGTGAGTGCTAAACCAAGACCACCAAGCGTGTGAGCTAATAGACCCTTTGCAATAGTGAGGTCTGTACCTCCCCATCCCAGGGAACTCATGCTGCCAGTGTCTTCAGGCCCATTCTTTAGTGCCTGGCCATTCCTGCTCAGAGGAGAAAGAAGCCACCCAGCTCCCTCTCTGATTTTTCTCCCTGCCCAACTTCTTCCCTATAGAAAAATTAGAGCTGAGAGCCAAGCAGTAGGGCTCTACTAAGGAGCATTCCAGTCCCATCACGCTAAAGCCTGTGCCACACCTTCTCCCTGTGGCACTGACAGCAGTCTCCTGCCTGGCCCCGACTCTCTTAATACCCGGTGCGGGGGGCGGGGTGGGTACTTCATCACTAAATAGAGATTAGACAGTGATTCAGGCCTTTACAGAAGAAGAGATTCAAAAATCTTGCCAAAAGGACTGGGGAGTGGCTTTCCCAAAATCACACAGCTAGTTCTGGGCCATCCAGTCCCTCATTACCAACAGTGCATTTTACCAGGCCTTGGGGCAAATTATCTGAAGATCTAACCTTGCTTATTATGCCAATCTCAGTGGTAAACAGAAAAACAAGTCAACAGTGAAAAGAAAGGGCTACCAAGTAGCTTCTGAATGTAAAAGGAAATGAAGGGTTTCTTATCAAGGGCGAGAGGATCCTTGCTTTTAGGGCATAGGGTCTGACTTCCCCAGGCTGAGATATTCTGTTTTCTCCTGTTTGCCTCACTGCCTGCAGGAAGCGGGCAGATCCAGCTGTGGCAGTTCCTCCTCGAGCTACTCTCCGACAGTGCCAACGCCAGCTGTATCACCTGGGAGGGGACCAACGGGGAGTTCAAAATGACGGACCCCGATGAGGTGGCCAGGCGCTGGGGGGAGCGGAAAAGCAAGCCCAACATGAATTACGACAAGCTGAGCCGGGCCCTGCGATACTACTATGATAAAAACATTATGACTAAAGTGCATGGCAAAAGGTATGCCTACAAATTTGACTTCCACGGCATTGCCCAGGCTCTGCAGCCACATCCAACTGAGTCGTCCATGTACAAGTACCCTTCCGATATCTCCTACATGCCTTCCTACCACGCCCATCAACAGAAGGTGAACTTTGTCCCTCCCCACCCGTCCTCCATGCCTGTCACTTCCTCCAGCTTCTTTGGAGCAGCGTCACAATACTGGACCTCCCCCACAGGTGGAATCTACCCCAACCCCAATGTCCCCCGCCATCCTAACACTCACGTGCCCTCACACTTAGGCAGCTACTACTAGGAGCTTAATCATCGGTGGCCTTCTAGCTGAAGCCCCATCCCTCACACTTCCTGGGATACTTTGGACTCTAAAGGACATACGTGGCCTTGAAGACAAAACAAAACTGGATGTTCTTTCTTGTTGGATAGAACCTTTGTATTTGTTCTTTAAAAATAATCTTTTTTTTTAAATGTTGGTAACTTTTGCTTCCTTTACCTTGAACAAAGATGCATAATTCTGTGGGCCAGTACACCAGTTTGGATTCTCAATCTCTTATCATCTTGTGAGTTGAATATTTAGATTACTGGAATGGTTGTATCATGGTTCTGGGAAAGAAACTGTAAATGTTCTTTATATTTTTATGACCAAAGCAGTTTCTTATCAACACACGGGTCTCATCATGGACCTTATAGGATTCAATATGATAAAGAATCATGGACTTAACCAGTTATGCTCTGGTTTGAGACTTAGTGAAAATAGAGGCAGGAAGCTTATAATCTTACTTTAGGAGGACCTACTTCAGTGGATGGCAACTGGAACATTGGTTGTAAGGCCAGTGAAGTTTTCACCCAACTGGAATTTAAAAGAAAGAACATGTATATGTATTTAAGAAGCCATGGGCATTGCAAAATCCCTCTCAGTGGGCAGTGTGCACTAGGCCGACCATTCTCTCTAGATATAATCAAGACATGAACTAAGAAATGTTAATGCAAATGCAGACATTCCTGAAAGACAGAGAATTAAATAACTAATGTTTTTTTTAAAAAATAATGACAGTGGGTCCCAGAACTTGGAAAAGTCTTAGGGATTTCTAAACACAAACAGATTCGCAAGCGCTGTGCGCTTGTCAGGCCATCAGTCCAGGGTCAACCAACCAAAAGGCAACTTACTGTATAAATTATGCAGAGTTATTTTCCTATATCTCACAGTATTAAAAATAAATAATTAAAAAATTAAAAAGAATAAATAAACGAGTTGACCTCGGTCACAAATACAATTTTACTATCAAATCAGTTGTTGTTATTTTTTTAAATGTAATTTGTACATCTTTGTCAATCTGTACATTTGGGCTGTTTGTACGTTTTTATAGCTGGTTTTTAAAAGCATAATGTGACTATTGCTGAAAAGAAAACAGGACGTTTAAGTCCCTGACTTACTAGAAAGAGAAGCCTGGTGCAGGTATCTAACAGGTGGGCACAAGCAGGTGGAGGCATCCATTTAAATCTTTAATGCTTTGGAAATGTTTGTAAATAACCGTACCGCAATAATCACAACTTTGAAAAGAACAACCAAACTTTCCCTTGTGGAGACGAGGGATTTTCCTGCCCTATATATGCAATATATTTTTTAGATATTAAAATATATATAATTTTGCAGGTAATCGTTGACTTTTTTTAAACTATATTAAGTGTTAAGCTGACAACTGTCAATGAAGACTATGTTGTAAAATAATTTGACTAAATAAATTGTGCCTTCTTCTCTCAGAACTGAGGATGCCGTTTTCTTATTTACCCCCTTTAGGTCAAAGAGTTTTACCAGGGGAAGTTTTCTATTGACCTCTTGCACCAGGAAGACTTTTCACATGTACATACTGCAGTACAGCAGAAAGTAAAAAATCAATGTGGTTTTTATTGTTGTTTGTATTAGTCAGGGTTCTTCAGAGAAGCAGAACCAATAGGATATATATGCATGGAGATTTATTATGAGGGCTTGGCTTACGTGATTATAGAGGCTGAGAAGTCCCATGATCTGCTGTCTGCAAGCTGAAGACCCAGGAAAGCTAGTGATGTAGTTTCAGTCTGAGCCTAAAGGCCTGAGCTAGGGTTGCTGATGGTGTAAATCCTAGTTCAAGGGCAGGAGAAGAGAAATGTCCCAGCTCAAGTAGGCAGGCAGGAAGCAAAGGGGTGAATTTCTCCTTCCTCTGCCTTTTGTTCTATTCAGACACTCAATGGATTGGATGATGCTCTCTGGCATTGGAGAAGGCAGTCTACTTCACTGAGTCCACAGATTCAAATGTTAATCTCATCCAGAAATACCCACACATGCATACTCAGAAATAATTTAATCTGGGCACCCCATGACCTAGTCAAGTTGATAGTTAAAATTAACTTTCACACTGTTGATGATGTTTGCAGAGATTTTTTTAATATTATTTAAATCTTTCTCCAGCCTAGAAAGGTTGTATAGGATAACAGCCAAGGCCATGGTTATCTGTGTCCAAGAACCAGAGCAAAGCAGACAGGTCCATCCAGGATGGACCTTGTCCATTAGACTGCATTCTGTTGCATCCACCAAGCACCTCAAACCCAAGTGGTCACTCTTCTGATGCTCCAACAGAGAATAAGATGGCCCAGCTTCTTCTGGTCCCATGCCAGGATTTTATGGCCCATGCAGATTTTTAAGGTCTTGTTGATTCTCAAGGAAGCAACTTGCTTCAAACTGCTTCACTGTAGCTTGTTTTCATTTCCTCTATTTTATAATAAAAATGAAGGAGGCCTGGAAAGTCCTTGATGTTGTGAGAAATTAGACTCACAGCATTGGTAATCCTATAATCTTCCCTGGGTAACACTGAGTACTTTCTAGACAACACATCTACCTAAATGAAATGAGATGTGTTCCAGAACATTGGTCTCCAGTTTTTTTTAACTTGCACCCTACCGTTAAAAAATGTGCTAAGCAAATATTCTCAATATATGCACATTGATTTATAAATCATTTACACAAACTGTTACATTATTATTATGTATATTATAAAACACAAAATTTTAAAGAGTGGTATAAAAATAAATTGAAACCGAAATTCTGTTTTCTTCTTCTTTTCTTTGTATTGTATATCTCCTACTGTCAACGCTCAACAGGAAAGTTAGTCTTTAGAGGAATAAGTATGAATATATACATCTGTATGGGTTTTCTAGTGACTTCTAAGAAAGGAGAAAATAAAAACTTGGTATTAGTGGCCCAAACATAGAAAGAGGAAGGATAAAGGCCAGGCACGGTTAAGAACAGTATAGCTGGATTCTTTTGTAAATCTCCATCTCAGACAAGCAATTTTTCCATCGATTTTGAAATCTGCAAAACATTCATGAGGGAAAATAGAGGCACATACTTCTGACTGCTGTAAGAAGAGTGGATGCTCAGACCATTGGGAGCTACCCTTTTAAGTGGTTTTTTTAATATGCCCTATTCAACCACTGATTTAGGTCTATCATCTCGACCAAGTCTTAGAACTTTGGCCAAATCTTGCCGCTTGAATTTGTGCCCAATGATTTATTCCACATTTAAGTCCACTCACTAACAGGACCAGGACACCACTTTCTCCTTATAAGCATTTGTATGGAGTGAGGACTGGCATTTAGTCCCCTGTAATGCCCAGATTTAGGGTTTACTAGCTTACTCAAGGGCATCCAGCTGACTAGTTGCAGAAGACAAAATGGGTCTTTGCCATCCTGGCCGCTAGTCCAGTATGTTCCCCACTCAACCATTCTCTACCTATGCCATGAAGTTGTTCAGTGTAGCAAACACTGCAAGTCAGGCAGAGAGGAACAAGGTAAGCCTGGGAGCAGTTCTAATGGAAATCGTCTTCCCCACAGTTTAGGATGCTGGTCAACAGCCCATTTGAGCAGGAGGTCTTGTTTTTTTTTTCAGTGTCAAAAAATATTGCTGACTCCCACGCAAAGGAAGCTATATTTTCAATATCTGCTGTTTTGCAACATTTTTGACAATGACCACTAGAAATTTAGTAACACTTAAAATGATTGTTATTTGATTTAACCAATAATATCTGCAGGCAGTTGAACAAGGAATGTGTACAATGTTTATTTAGTCCATGGGTAATGCATAAAATGTGGGCCCTCACATGGAATATGACTAGTTTAGACCAAATGAGATCAGGAGGTTCTGGAACACCAAGGTGGAAAGAAACATCTGTCTCTCCTAAGCCAGAATGCCGCCAGGCCAAGACAATGGTTGGTGAGGAAACAGAAAAGCAAGGCAAAGCAAGATGCAGTGCTTCCTGTAAGCGGTCTGTGGACTTGGTTTCACACCCTACTCCTCTTACATCTATTCATTAACAACTTTTATGTAAACATGTTACCTTAAAAACTACTGAAAAGGTACCACTTTGGGAAGCAACCCTTGAGCATGGCTCCCCTCCTGTCCAGCCCCACCCCCACCTCGCTGGGGATCTGCCTCCTGGAGGTTCCTCCACCATCAACAGCAGTGCTGGGCTTGTGTCCAGCACTCTCTCAGGAGGAGGCAGTAAAATCGTGCTTAGTATCAACGGGGGAGAGATGGGCGGTCATAAAGACATGGGCTGGGGGACCAGGGGACTGGGTTCTGGTGAATAAACAAACAGAGGCTTCAACTCTTATCCAGGAAGAGCTTTGTGTTTTGCAAGAAGCACACTGGACACTTCATCATACGGAAAGCTACTGAAATTGATACCGTACTCCTTCAGCCAGGAGTCCAGCTAAAGGATTAGGAAAGGTCAGCTGATTTCAAGACTACAAATCCCAGGCTCCCCTGGGAGACGGACACTTCTGAGAGGAAGTGGTTTAGCCAGTCAAACCTCTAGAGTTTCAGCCAATTGAGAAAGGATATGGAGGGAAGCTTTTAAAAGGAATGTCGGCTCACATGCCTGGGGTCTGTCTCTCTCTCTCTCACTCTTACTTGGCCTCCTGTCTAATTGTTTCAGTCTGTCTGAGCTGGTAAATTCCTAAGCACATAGTCAATTTACACTTAGCTTAAAAGCTCTAGGGGGAAACAGAAAAAGTTTCCAGTGAGACCACTGACTTACCTACAAGCGCTAAACCAACCTTCTGGATTTTAACTGGGTTACTTCATGTGTTTTCTTAGTGGAAGGAGAGAGGCAATTTAGGTAGATAAATGAGCGAGGACGTAATGCTAGAGGACTGGGTTCAAGTTCTGACCCTTCCACCTCTGCCTGTCTGCACCTATGAACTGGAGGGCACAGTAATATCTCCCCAAGAGCTCCTGTGTGGTATTAGATGGCACATGTGGAAAACCCTTTATAAAATACTGTACAGGAGGTTTATATATAATCACTGTTATCTGCTAGTATTTGCTAGATCTTTCCAAGAACTTTTATTAAATCCTTGGTAACTGGTGAGCACTCTGTTCAGGGAGTTCAGTATAGCATAGCTTTTGTTTTGTGGTCAGAAAGGCATTTTCCAAACGAGTGAAAAGTGGGAGTAAATTGGATTTTCCAGACAGCCATTGCGTTTTCCCCATCCCCAGCTCTCACCGTGCCCCACTTGGGTTTCTGCCCTTCCCTGGCTCTGTGTACACCTACAGTCCATAAAGCATGCTGCCAAGTTGCAGGATGCTGCAAATAAAATGAGATTGTTCTGAAGGAATGCTAAAAACGTACTTTGTCAGAAATGCTGGGCTGAGTTTTTAAATCAGCTAAGAAATAGAGGCTGGGAGCTGGGATTTTATGCCTAGCAAGCTTGGCTGCACATTGTTTGAAGACACAAAGCAGCCTGTAAGCTCCAGGAGAGAAGAGACTGTCTATTTTGTTTGCTGGGTCAGTGGGGGCAGCACACAGTAGTTGGTCAGTCAATATATGCTGAGAGGATAAATAAAGAACAGGGACGGAGTCAGAGGGCCCTGGGTAGGAAGCCCAGCATTCCCACTGCCCCAATTATAACTGACTGTCTCTGAGCTTGACGTCGCCATCTGTAAAATGTGGATTATAGTCATAACCATACAGGGTTATCACCAGGAGTTAAGTAGGTAAGTAAAAATGTTCTGTATGTTGAAAAGAACTATGAAAATGCAGGACGTTGTCTTGGTAGGTAGCTCTTCTTTATCATTTGAAACTCTGACCAGGTCTCTGTTACTCTCTGATATCATTAGATAGAGTTAAATCATACCCCTCTATTCTTTTACATATTATGAATATACCTTTTTAACTTAAAAAACTATAAAAGCTTGAGACAGTTACAAACTTACAGAAAATTTGGAACAGTACAAAGAACATTTTTTATTGCACCATTTGAGAGCAAGTTGCCAACCTGATGCTCCATCATGCCCACATGATGTGTACATTCCTACAAACAACAGTGTACAATTGTGAAAATCAGAATTTTAACATGGACAGATTACTACCATGTAATCCTCAGGCACCATTCACTCTTTGCTAATTGTCCTACTACTGTCTTTTGTAGCAAAAAGATCCCATTCGAATCATGTATTTTTTTTTTAAATAATTTCATTTATTTATTTTTCCCCCAAAGCCCCGGTAGATAGTTGTATGTCATAGTTGCACATCCCTCTAGTTGCTGTATGTGGGACGCAGCCTCAGCATGGCCGGAGAAGCGGTGCATCGGTGCGTGCCCGGGATCCGAACCCGGGCCGCCAACAGCCAAGCGTGCACACTTAACCACTAAGCCACGGGGCCAGCCCAGAATCATGTATTGCATTTAGTTATCACGTGCCTTCAGTCTGGAACACCCCCAAGGTCTTT